TTTGAGATGTCTTATTGAAAAGTCACACAGACTTTGATACTCAGAGGCATTGGTTCTCATATATCAACATTTCATAGCACTTATTTTCTGAATACATTTTAGGGTACTTGCTACAGAATTTTTATGAAAATGAGAGATGCTCTGAATTCTTTTTTTTTCTTCCTTTTTTAAAGTACATGTTTGTAGTACATAATGACTACATTTATCTTGAGTCTGTGTGTACATAAGACATCTTAATTCTTTTTTTGCCCCCTACCCCTCCTGTTGCTCCCTGTTTCATCAAACTCTTGGTCCCCTTGAAGCAGGGTGAACAACTAGGAGAATTTCCACTGGGGGCATGGGAGTGGTGTCCTTAGGACCTGGCAGTCGCCATGGTGCTCAAGGACTTCCTGGAGGCTGCTCTGGGCCAGCATTCTTTGCTCGACATTGTACCTCTGTTGGCTCACGGGCTCTTCACCACAGTGCCCCTGGGCCCCCACAGTGCCTGGCTGCAGAGACTGTGCGAAGCAAGGGATGCTGGGAGGGGCTGGCAGGTGGCACCCAGGGTTCACCTGTGAGCAGACCTGGACCCGCAGTGCTGTCATTCTCAGTCCCGCCAGTGGAATTGTTTTCGCTCTGCCTTTCCTCCTCAACTTTCCTGTCTGCCATCCTCTGCAGCACTTTTCTCCCAAAAACGTGTGAGCTTAGGTTGAGTCTCACTTCCACACCCTCAGCTGCAGTGATAGTGTGAGCGGTGGGCTTCCCTGAGTGCTGGGCTCTTTCTGTCACTCCTGTGATACGCCAGTGTTGTGGAAGGGCCCGCAGGACCACCCGTCAGAATTCCCTCGCTGTGCCGCAGGCGTGGATATAAGCGATCTGTTCACAGCCTCTTTAGCCTCTAGTCAGGTTTGCTTTTCCTGGGAAGGGCAAACCTCTGATGTCGAGGTTTTTGTGTTTCCCTGATGCTGGCTTTGGAGTCGATGTCTGCTTGCTTGGTGGAAGAATGTCTGGGAAAGGTTGCCCGCCTTGGCTGCTGTTGTGGGTGTTTCATGAGCCTCTGGGGTTCCCCATCGCACCCCCACCCCCACCCCGGCTCATGGTCGCGGCTGGCAGATGTGTTGCTGTCCAGTGGAACAGTCTTTCTGACCTGCCTAAGTGGAAAAGTCTGTGTGCCGGTTCACTGAAGTCACTGTTGACTCAGTTTCTTAACCGAGTCTGAACTCATGGAGGGCAGAGAGACATGGGGAGACTGGGTTACGAAAGACAGGTTTTGCCATCTTTATACGTTTGTCTAGGATCTAGCCCCAGGGTGTATGTGTTGACTTGAAGCAAAGTTAAATCGAGCTGACACCCTTCTGTGTTTTCTTCTAGAAGAAAGAGGCCGCTGACAGGACCCGGTGATTACAAGGGTCACCCAGGCTGAGGCCTGCAGGGTACGTCTTGGGGCCATGCACTTCCCTGAGCCTTGCCTGGGCCTCTGCATTGCATGTGTTCAAGATGAGAGCCTCAGATCAAAAGTGATTGAATTCTCTCTAACTTAAAATGCACTTGGTACTAGGGTTAGACTGCGGGTTAGAATTTAGAAGAATGTTTGTTCACTGTTAAGAATACTTTTCCTCCCAACCTTCAGTTAGTCATAATGTCTTGTTTTTCAGCGTGAAGTTTAGTTATAGTTTTCAGTCTTTGAAAAGGGGGTACTTATCCACAAGCAACTTCTCAATGGAGTAATGAATTGTTACAGTGATTAATCACTATAGGCCAGTATGCCTTTGTGAAGAAACCTACTAGATTCTTTTCTGTGAGCTTGCTAGTTTAAAATTACTTCATTTTGCCATTTTGTTGGCACAGGTCTGGGGAGAGAAACACGAAGGTGTTTAATAGTGATTATCCCTGGGTGCGTGAGACCCTGAAAAAAGGTCTTTTATTTTTTCATTTATTATTGTCATAATGGCATAGATTTAATTTTTAAAAGCCTCCAGATTCATTTACCAAATCTGATCGGTACACCATTTCTCCCAAACACATCGCAGCTGAAATGACAGAGGAGGAGGACAAAGGCTACGTAACGGGGCAGTCTGAGTGTGTGCTTTAAAGCTAGTTACATTTGCAACCGTGCAGTAGAAGCAGACTCGGTAGATCTTACGAATAATTCCTGCCCTTATAATTAATTGGAGCTGAAGACTTAAAGATAGTTTTCTGCCATCTTCAGTTAGCCTACAGTTTTTAGTTTTGAAAAGTAAATATGCCTGAATTAAAGTTTCTTTTGGGAAATTGGTGTCCAAATATAGCAGTCTTTCAATTTAGGTTTTCTTCTTAATCATGTCATTAAAATTATTAGCTCAGGTGGCAAGGATAATAAAGAGTGTAGAAGAAATTTGCCTTTCTTCCCTAGCATCTGTACATCCTACTGGTTTCTTATTTTAAAAATCTTAATGGAAACAGGATTAATAATTTAGTTTTGGTTCTGAAATCGGATTGCGGAGTGGAAGGCGCATGGACTGGTGCAGAGAGCTCTGCAGTGCAGGCCAGGGTACTGAGCCCACGTGCCACAGAGCAGGGCTCCTCACCCGTCTCGAGGGCGCTTTGAGGGTGGCGGCTGGTGTGCAGGGTGGTATGTGATTGGCATGTGGGCCTCACCAGGGGAGTGGTCCCACTAGTTAGCATCGCCATCATTCCTAAAACGTAAAAAGCTTATTAGTGAACATCTCACCATTTACTTTTGTTTTGGTACTGGGGATCGAACTTAGGACTTTGCACTTGCAAGGCAGGCGTCGGAACCACTGAGCTAAATCCCCAGCCCTCACCATTGACTTTTTTTTTTGGTACCGGGACTCAAACTCGGGTCCTTGCACTTGCGCAGCGAGCAGCGAAACCATTGACCTAAATCCCCGGCCCCTCTCACCGTTGACTTTTTAAAGTTACATAAATTTTCTGAAGTGGCCCCAGATCATGATTGGGGTCATTACTGAAGCGATTAGAACACGGGAATGACTTCAGGCCTCTTTCAGCTGGTGTTTTAGCTCCTAAACCCTGGTCCCCATGGTGACAGTCATCCAGGGTGGGAAGTGACTGTGAGCAGTGTGGGCTTTAGCCGAGCTGCCTCACCCGAGTCCCTTGGACGCAGAGCTGAGGCCACTTCTCGGTCTATGAAGTGAGACAGGCGCTGGTGTAAGGCGGTGACCCGAGCCTGTCCGACTCACTTTGCACAGATTCGTGGAAGGGATGGAAGGCGAATGCTTGTTTCCAACTGTCCTGTTGGATATAAAATACAGTTTGCAAAACACTTTCACTTAAATGTGCTCATGTAAATACTTCTCTTAAGAAGATGCCTAAAACTACGAAACGGTACACTGCAGCCCCGGAGGAGGCCTCCCTGGACGGACGGATGCTTCCTGTTCACCAGTAGAGATGGAGCTTGTCTCAAGCACTTGCTGCATCCTCGCTGCATCCTCCAAAATTTGTATTAAATTTTGGTCAGAAAAAATAGGGGCATTCAGCCTGTGGAATTTAAAGCGACATCTTAGTTTGTCTAATGTTATATATTTATTTACTTTTCTGAGTCAGGCTAATTTATAAGAACCTATTCCTATGTTTGGGGCTTGTATCGTAAAGGTTGAAGATTTTAAATGTGGTACAAAATACAAGGTTTAAATTGTGGGAACGCATGCTTGACCCTCTTGAAATATAAGCAGGTCAGATGGTTTATGCCTGAGAGTTGGGAAACTGTAATAAAAATAGGAACATAATATAGGTAATAAAAATAGTAGTTACAGAGCGACAGAAAGTGAGTACGGGTGAGCAGCAGGCATTTATTAAGCACCGACTGTGTGCAAGAACAAAGAATTGTCTTATAAACATTTGGGGGCAAGGTTGAGTTTTATAATTTAGTAAAGCTCTGACTACTGTACCTGGAAGAGGTGAGCACTGTCCTAGGTACAGCGTGAGGGTGAGAGAGCCAGACAGGACCTTAGACTGGAAGGCCTGCATGATACTGGGAGTCTCACGTTGGAGAGCATACATTCAGCCACCTGTTTCCGCGTGGGGTGGTGGTGCTGGGGGTGCAGGGGGAGAAGGTGGCTCTAGAGGGGCCACAGAAGGCCTTGCTGGGGAGCTTTATCGCGTTAAAGGAAATACCATGGAGTCGTAGGAACAAGTTGGGCTTCTGTCCAAACGCTTACTCTTGTTTTCCCTTTGTCAGTCCTGCCTTTGTTTTTTAAAGATGCTAATTGAAATTAATTTGGGGGGGAATTTTTTTATAAATTTTGCTTATCAAGCTTGTAGTCTCTTATTTCCAAGGAGCTGTTTATTTTTCGGTTTGCAAAATTTAATATGGTATTTAAATTCTCAACCTTTACTTTATAATATAAACTCTAAATATAGAAATAGGTCCTTATAAATGACCCTGAATCATTTTGTGTGGATTTATTTGCTTTAAGCATCTCTTAAAATAGAAAAAAGAAAAAGAGCATTTACAGAAACTTAATTTTGTTTCTCCTCTTATTTTGTAGATGTCCATGGCAACATTGAAAATGAATTGCTTATTTTCTACAGATACTCTTATATGAGAAGATCCATTTCAAACAGTCTAAATATTTTTCCTTCCGCTGGACCAGCATGGCAGGATTCAAGCGAGGATATGATGGAAAGATTGCTGGATTGTACGATCTGGATAAAACCTTGGGTAGGGGTCATTTTGCAGTGGTTAAACTTGCCAGGCACGTCTTCACAGGGGAGAAGGTGGCAGTAAAAGTTATTGACAAGACAAAACTGGACACTCTAGCCACGGGACATCTTTTCCAGGAGGTGAGATGCATGAAACTAGTGCAGCACCCTAACATCGTGCGCCTTTATGAAGTTATTGACACCCAGACCAAACTCTATCTTATTCTAGAACTTGGAGATGGAGGAGATATGTTTGATTACATCATGAAACATGAGGAGGGTCTCAATGAAGACTTGGCTAAGAAGTACTTTGCTCAGATAGTTCACGCTATATCTTACTGCCATAAACTCCATGTGGTTCACAGAGACTTAAAACCAGAGAATGTAGTCTTCTTTGAAAAACAAGGTCTTGTAAAGTTGACAGACTTTGGTTTCAGCAACAAATTTCAGCCAGGGAAGAAACTCACCACAAGCTGTGGATCTCTTGCATATTCTGCTCCAGAAATTCTGCTTGGTGACGAATATGATGCCCCTGCTGTAGGTAAGTGACCGTGGTCCAGGCTCTGCCTTCTTGGCTCCTACCAGCTAGCTAAGCTTGGTTGCTCACGTTGGTGGTTGATTACCTAAAATCATTTTTCAGAAGATTTCCGTTAACTGCGCCTGGCCTAACACATTGGGTGTCATGAACACCATACATCCCCAAGACTGGTGTGTATTCCAACCTTTTTTTTCCAGTTTTTTAATGTTTTAGTTTCATACTGGAAAAATACATCCTCAGGTCACCTACAAGTGACACCAAACTTCCTGCTTTTCTGTTTGAATTGCAGCTTAAAGAGGGCAGTGGCAAAGGTGCACACGCCGTTGAGGGCACTGATGTTACACTGCACGTCCCGCCCTCACGTTACACTCTTGTGTTGTAGGAAAGAGAAGGTTTATGAATGGTTTCTGCCTCCTGAAGATATCCAGGCTTCCCTGAAGTCTTTCATTAGAATATTTGAGCTAGAGATTTTTGATTAGTGGAGCTACTCTAATCAGAAAATGAAGCCAGGAGTTCACAGAAGAAGGAACAGAAATGTCTGAGGGTGAAAAGGTCTCCAGCCGCATTAGTACAGGGAGGGGCAAAGCCACAATAAGACAGTTTCATCATTTGCATATTGAGAAAAACTAAAGGCAGACAAAAGTAAGCATTGCTAAGACTATAGACCGCTGGGCACTTGTATAATTTAGAGGACAGTTTGGTAATATTTAGTAAAGAAATGTACCTGGGCATGGTGGTGCACACCTGTAATTCCAGCACTCAAGAGGCTAAGGCAGAAGGATCGCTGCAAGTTCTGAGCCAGCCTGGGGTATATAGTGAGACCTGTCTCGAACCCCCCAAAAAAGAAACAAGAGAAAAATGTACATCTTGTGACCCAACTTCTGCACCTGTGCATGCGTCTCACTTGGGCATTCAAAGGATTTTTCAAAGGATGTGTCTAACATACTTGTTGAATCTATATCAGCAAGGGGATAAATGGCACCGTATGAGTTTAGAACACATCAAACAGTGTTACGCATTATTTAGTGGAGTGTGTGTGTGCAGTGGACTGAAGCATGCAGTAGAGGAAGATGGAGTACTTCGGAGGGGCAGGTGTAGCAGAATTTCTGCTCTACTAACGAGGTTTATTTTCTAATTTGGGTGGTAGATGCACAGGTGTTTAATTTTTTCTTGTATCTTAAGTATTACATAATAAAACATTAAAAATCATAAAAGGGAAAAAAATTGGGAGGTTGTTCCAAAAGACAGTTGAGAGAATCTGATAGTTTCTTTGTGAAGTAGGTTGGGTGGAGTTCATAGCTACTTTTTTTCACTTTGGTGATTCATATTTCAATTCATTTTGTGTAGTAGCGTGATTAAAATAAAGAGTAAATGGGCAATTAATTTTTCTGTTAATATATTCTTTGTTTATTGTGCCAAAATCAATTGATGGCTTTTCACAAAGTTTTAGCAAAATGAGTGTGGCCAAAAATTACCGTCTGCTATTATATTAAATTGCCAATTTGTCTTGATTACTTTTCTCTCAGTGCTGAGACAAAATACCCGACACCCAACGTTAAAGGGGAGAAAGTTTATTTGGCTCACAGTTCGCAAAGGTTTCAACCCATAATTGGCTGGCTCCGAGGCGGGGCGGCACATGGGGGAGGGGCCTCGCACAGGAGAAACTGTTCATTGCACGCAGAAGACAGCAAAAGCAAGCAAGGGCCGACCACAGCTCTTCCTGCCCCTCTGTCTTACCCAGGCCCTCAGGGCGGGCAGCACTCAGACCCTGACGCTGGTGCCCTTGAGCCTAGCACTGCACCATGAGTCAGTCCCAGTGTCACACACCCTAGATGCAGCCACCTCTGGAAGGGCCCCACCTGTGACCACACGAGGCTTTGAGGGACAGCTGGACACAGCCACAACACAGATGTTGCTAAATAAGACTTTGGTTTGGGTTTAAAAGGAAGTATTTTATGGTGTACTGGTCTTTGGCATTGAGCTTTAGCTTAGGAATCATCTCTAGTATTCTTTTTAAAGAATTAACTTTGATTTTACTCAACTACATGTTTTGTTTTCAATGTTACTGTTTTTTGCTTTCATTCATACTCTTTTTAGGCTATAGTTCCCTTCCCTTCCCTGCCCTGCCCTCTCCCCTTGTCTTTTCTTTTTCCTCTTCTTATTTCTTTAGTGTTTCAGCCTCTGGAAGCTGCATGTAATGGCTCTCAGGACCCCTGTGGGTTTCGCTGTATAGCCACAGCTCACTGCTGTTTGGTTTCTTGTTTAATCCAAGGTAGTTAGAAAGACTTCTCTCTCTCATTTTCTATGTAGAGGGGATAGGTCTATTTTTTCCTTTTAGTTCTGATTTTTAGTATCTAATTCTAGTATATTGAAGTCAGTAAATAGGGCAGTTGATTTTTGCTTTGGAAACATTTTTGTGTTTTCTTTGTGCCTTTTTACCTTAACAATTTTTACCATGGTGACTGTTCCCTATATTTTGGTGCAGTCATAGTTTTATACATAATTAATATTGTTCATTATGTGATTTATTCCTTTGCATTCTTACGCTTTATTTTGTCTGTCCTTTTCAGAGGTAGTTATGCTGGCCCTGTAATTGTGTCTTATAATCAAAGTTTACTTTATCTTCAAGCTGAAGCTTTAAATTTATTTTCCATGATCTGTACTTTTTATCAATGAATTACTTACTTGATGTTTGTTTAACTGCCCTTCATTTGCGTGTTGACATTGCCACAGGTTTGTCTTTTTCCCCTTAGCAGTAATAGTGCCTTGGCTGGGCCCCATTGGCTTAGAGCTCAGTGTCTCCTTTTTAAACAAGTGGAGCCTGTGAGTCTTTTAGTAGGCGAATCTAATACATTCGTATTTATTATTATTGGAATACTTGGGCTTACTTTTGCTGTTTTGTGAAATTTTTTTATTTTTTTTTGGTACCGGGGATCGCACTTGGGACCTTGCGCTTGAGAGGCAGGCGGCAGAATCACTGAGCTAAATCCCGGGCCCTTGTCTTGTTTTGTTTTCCACTGCCTCATTATGTATTCCCTTTCTTATATTTTGTTAATTATTCAGGTTTCTTCTCCTCCCCTTCAGTTTGCAAAGTGTGAGTCTGTTTTTCTCTGTGGTAGTCTCCACCCCTACCCCCCAAAGTCAGCCAATGCCCGTATTATTTCTCCTGCTAACAAGGAAGATAAAAATCATAATTTGCTTTTAATAATAAATTTTGATTTGCTTTTATTTATAATATGCTTTAGTTTTATAAATTTCTTGGTCTCCCAATCCTTCACTTGAGTTATTTTTATTTTGTTTTGTTTTATTTATATCTTTTCTGAAAGGATTTGTAAAAATTCCCCAAGTCTTTGTCTACCTAAAAATGTTCTCATATTTGAATGATGATTTGAGTATAGAAATAGAAGTTCAAATTTCTTCCCAACTTTGAAGATACATTTTCACAGATGTTTTTCCGTTATCTTTTTTGCTTCCAAAGCTATGAGGAAGAAATCGAATCTGACACTGACTTTCTGCATTTCGCTCGTTCTGGGTGTGTGTGTGTTTTAACACTTCTGTAAGTGGGTTTTCTTGGGTGTTCATTCTCCTTGAGTGCCTCCTCCCCCTCGGTGTTTGGGGACGTTAGTGTTGCTCATCTGTGTTTCAAGATGCCCGGGAGCCATTCTGTGAACACCATGCATGAGTATCGTCAGCTCCAGGGGGTCCAGATGGGGCGCAGGCTGTGTGGCCAAGGTCACCCCTCCTGGGCTTCCTCCTCCTGCCGGGCCCCGCTGGGCCTGCTGGGCCCAGGTGGAGCTGAGAGGGGCCCGGCAGAAGCCTTGTTCATCCTCCCACGCAGGGTTGGGGCCCAGCCTGGCCTCCTGGAGCGCGGCACGAGGGAAGGGCCTGCGGCTGCTCTGAGGCACTCCTTTCCTCCCCAGGTCGCAGACCACCTGTGCCCCACCTCCTAGGCTGTGTGCAGGACTGGAGGGCAGCAAGAGCGGCCACGTCCTGCTCAGGGACTGCTCGGGTCGCTGCGGGGTCCAGGGTTCTGGATTAAGTTGCCTTCATGGTGTTCAGACAGAAACCGTCTGTGTGGAAAAGCCGAGTCTGCTGCGAGAGCCTGGGCCTGCTGCTGGCCTGTGCGGGGCCTTGGTGTGCATCCCAGTGCGTTTCTGCCTAAGGTCTCTCTGGAAGCGGCGTCTAGGAAGGGTTTACTCTTGAAAACATGAACTGTGCTTTAAAAACTTCTTTATTATAGAAACTCTAAAATGGGAAAACTTTCTTAAATCCCAGATTTATAATTTTTCAGTAGTTGTAAAACTCTCACATTGTCTAAGACTTTTTTCTACTTCCCTAAAATTTTGTTTTCAAGTTAAAATGAATTAAGTTTAGTATTGAGAACTGTGGCATCTCCCTTGCAATTTGGAGTCCTCCTAGGAAGTTACAACTCTGGACCTGAAAACCCCTGTACTGAATGTTGCCTGGTTCATAGAGAGTCTGTCTTCAAGGTGAAATCTCCTGTCCTGCATTAATTTAGCATTGCTGGTTTTGTAGTAGATATAACTGAAATCTAGCTTAAAGCATGGCTCAGTACTATGCAAAGATTTGATTTAGTTTGCTTGTTTGTGGCTTTTGGGTTGTCTATAATACTTATCATATTTGCAATTCAGCCTTTAAGAGACATGCCCCAGATGAGAATGTATCATCATGCATGTTAGTGTGCAAAAAATTGTGTTCTTTTCTTCATAGATGTGTAATTTGCCCTGCATTAAACTGTTACTCTTTGCCTACCCTCAGTAACTCTTTCTTGCTCTTAGTTAACTGGGAAGAGAGAGGAACACACTCAGCCTCATAAACAGCATCAGCACGAGCCCCGGAGCTGACACCGTCCTCCTCTGTGGGAGTGAGGCGAGGGCCCACACGTCCCACCTTCGCTGCATAGTACAGAAACATCAGATCGGCGAGCGGGAAATTGAACTGTCTCCACTTGAAATTGACATGTTTATCTACCTGGAAAATCTCAAGAAATCTGCAAATTTCTAGAACTAATGAATTTAGCAAGATCACAGGATATAAAAAATCATTGCAAAATTAATTACATCTCTATAATGCTAACAGTGAACAGCACATGGAGACCACAGTATTGGGGGATTTAGCTTTGTGGCACCGTGGCTGCCTCGCAAGCTCAGGGTCCTGAGTTCGATCCCCTGTACCGCCAAAAAACAAAAAAAACCCAACAAAAAAAACATACCTAAAAAAAATTATGCTAAAAGTTACAGAATGGTAAAGGAAGAACTCAGAGACCTAAACAAAGGGCTAGACATATGGTGTTTATCAATTGGAAGACAGCACAGTACAGGCAACCTCTGTTTGAGAGGAAGCAGTGCCTGTCCCTGGGGAAGTCTGAGTCTCTGCATCTGAGCCCCCGGGGCGTGGCCCTCATGGTGGTCTCCCCACCTCCCTCAGCCCTCACCAGGCTGCCTCCTCGCTGTACCCCTCTCCTGCCCTCGTCCCCTCCTGGAGTCCTGGCACCCACCCGGTGCATGGCGCGGGGCGCACACCAGACCCCATCAGCCTTGCTCTGCCCAGGCGGCTCCTGATTCCTCTTTGGGGGATCACAGAGGGCCTTGTTTCCCTGAGCATCAGCTGCCTCCCCGCAGGGACCTCCGATGTGGAGCCTCAGTCTCGTGTGCCTCAGTCTCTCCGGGTGGGAGGAAGAATGTCCGAGGTGCTGGCTTGTTTTGGAAATTTGTCCTCAGGGAATCTCTGAAATGTTGGCTGCCGTGGGAAACTGGGAGGAGGGCAGGCCCGCAACCTTTGTGCCTGTCTTTCGCATGTTGTTTTTAGTTGTATTTAACTTTCAGCATGCTCGGTTGTTTATACTTAGGGAATAGTTCACTTCTAAAGTAGGGATTTTCCTTCCTTCTTAAAAATGCTAGATTAAAAGATGAAGTCCTGGTATTTATTTGATTATGAGTTAGTCTCTCGGAACTTCAGATGAGTTTTTCCAACCTCTGAGAACAGTAGCTGTTTCAATACGGAAATGCACAGGAACTGAACCCACTTTTACTGTCTTTAGTTTGCTGCATAGAAAATATTTGAAAACACTAAATCTGCTTAGTTGCTTTTTAAAGCTTTTCTGAGATAAGAATGTAAGCCTTTTGAAGATGAAAACATGAAACAAAAAATTACACAACAAAATTTAGCTTCAGAACAAACTGAACTGCAGTAAATTCGGAGCCCTGTTAGGCAGTGCATGCGTGTTGCTGGACAGGCTGAGCTGCAGCTGTTGCAGGCAGTGGTTTAGGGCTTGTGAGAAGTGGGCCCTGTGCCCACCCGATGCACCTGGCTGGCTGGTGGCAGTCAGGGCCTCTTGGGAGACCTGTGCTAGGGGGACGCTGTGTGTGTGTGGCCCTGAGGCTGTCAGATGCAGGAAGCGGCTTGAGAAGCACCTGCACGTGCTTGTACACAGGGCTGGGGCTGCCACTGTCACGGGGCTCGTGAGGAGCAGTGATGTGGGGGGCAGAACCAAGTAGAGCAGCCCGGGCTGCTGCCACAGGTCTGTTCCAAACGTGGCCTTCACAGTCATCATTTCTTCTTTCCCTCTCTCTGTAGAGCCCTTTTTATAGAACCCCTTTGACCTTCAGAAAACATTGATTTATCTTAGTCATAATTGATGTATTAGCCTTTATAAGGAGCGTGTTTACAATGGCATCCAGTGTAAAACACTGCCTAACTTAATGTTTTACATTTTTAATTTAGAGTCATTTTGAATTCTGAAACTCAAACTGTAGGATCTCAGCATTTGTGGTGCCGTGTGAGGGGAGGAGATCCAGCCTCGGTGGGTGAGGCGCACTCAGCTTGGGGCCGGACAGCAGCAGCACCACAGGTCGGGTCACTGCAACAGGGGAGATGGGGTTGCCGTGGGGACCAGAAGCAGTGCGCAGCACTGGGAGGCTGCTTGCCCCGGCTGCCCTTCTGTGTGGACTCGGACGGGCCCGGCCAGGCCTGCCTCCCTTGGGCGGCTTGGTTGTCCTCTGCGAGGGCAAGCACTGGAGAGAGGGCATCGTGTATTCTGCTCTCCTCTGAGTCCGGCTGCTCCTCAGCACTGCACTCTTCGTGTCTGCCGAGTGGATAAGTAGGATGACCTAAAGAAACAAAAACTTACCAGGTTGAATTGTGGATCTTCCAATTAGTGTTTGCTTATGCCACAACTCCTTTTCTGATGACTCCTAGATGCTTAGAGGATCGTTTGAGAGCTGTCCTCTGGGTAATGCAGACAAACCACATTCAGTGCCCGTTTTGGAGGCAGTTAGTGACTACTGTGAACCTCCCTGGCTCTGTTGTGAGTTCATGGGCCTACAACTGTTGTGCAGGGAGGATGTGCACATAATCAGCTGTGGAGAAGAAAATACAGGTGTCTTTGGGTACCTGACTTGTTACTGTTTTGCACATTAGCTCTTTTATTTTCCTTATTGTATCTAAAATTTCCTTGCTATAACTTGGGTAGGAGATCGTAGTGGGAAGTTTGACTTAGGGTTTATAGATGAGGCTGTGTCTGGAAGGAACATCGAGTCATTGGGTGCACGGTGTTCTTTTTACTTATTTTTATTTAATTTTTTGTGTGTGCTGCTAGGCAATCACTCTACCACTGAGCTACACCCCTAGCCCTCTTCTAAAAAGTCAAATAAGCTCCACTTACAGGTGTTTGCTGTGTTCGGCATGATTGTTTTAGAAATGAATTCTATGTTATTGATAGAATTTATTTGTCTCAACTTTTCACTGACCTATGGAAGTCCTTGTTAGACTCCTGTTTTGGGAGACCCAGTAGATGGAAGGAAGCCCTCAGGTGGTGTAACCTAGTGCACATCCTACGGTGCGGTTTGCGGTCTTGTGCTCAGTGACAGTTACTTCCCAGAGGACAGAACCTGCGTTAGCAAGGTCCTCAGAGATGCCCGTGTTCAGTAGAACAGCAGTTGGTTGATACCCAGCAAGGCAGAGCGAGTCTCAGCCAGATACAAGTTTATATTCTTACATCAGAGTAGCTATTTTTTTTTTTTTTGGCAGATTTTTAGGTATTATGCAAAACAGCCTCTTTTCTTTGGAGTGTAAGATATGTTGCTTGGGCCCTTTTTAAGGAACATTTATGTGATCCATTGCAATTCCTGAGGCTGTACTGTCTGATTCTTGTTTTGTTCTTCAGGATCTGAAATTTCAGCTCTTCTATTCTGGTTGCTCCTGAGGCTTTAAAAACACAGTTTCTGCAAATTAGTTTGTTTTTAGTTGTTCCAGCAGGACTTTCCGTCTCCTGAAACCCTTTCTATTCCACTAGGAGGCAGAAAATTCCCACTGGTTGTAGATTTGTCTTGTTTTGTACTTGTTCATCGGTCAGTGTGTGGGTTGGACACCTTGCTGTGTGTCCCATACAAGGACACCCGTGTTATCCAGGGAACAGCTTGATGCAGATTTCTTGGATTTAGCCTCCAGCTTCAGTGTCAGAAGGACTTCCTGAGTTAGTAGAGGCAAGAAACATAGGTGAAGAATTCTAGTGGCCCCTGCTGTTTCCCTTTGCCTTTTCAGCTGTTATCAGGGCAGAGGAGAGCAGCTTCTCATACGGGAAGGAGCCTTTCCACAATTATTCTTACGTCACTTTCTGTGAGATACATGAGCTGCGGAACCCCCAGCTCTCAGTGGCTCTTAGCGGTTGGAGAACTGTTTCTTGACCACTTTCCTGAGAGCAGTTCTTGAGTTGGCCCAGATACACACAGCACCAGGAGGCAGCTCGTAAATTCCTCAGTGGCCGAGATGGACAAACCACATGGACTTGGTTCGTAGCAGTCAGGGTCTCACACAGAGCCTTAATTTTAAATAGAATTCCACCAAGGTCAATAATTTGTATTCCCAGCAGTCATCTAACAGGCACCAGAGGGAGATGTGGGGACCGGCATCCAATAGCAGCAGGAGGAGGGCTGTGAGAGAATCAGGAAATCGGAGTTGAGAGCTGGAGTCGGGACGTGTGTCTCGCTGTGCTGCCTGGAGCCCCGGGATCGATGCTTTTAAGTCTCCTGGAGGTCAGGTGAGGGGCGCTCACGCTGGAACAGCTGGCGCTGAAGGGACAGGGACACTTCCCCGAGAGCCAAGGTGGAGCTGCCTTCCAATGAGTTGCGCAGAGGCTGAGGGCTGGCAGTGGTGCTCTGCTGTAGAGCCAGCCCCCTTGGCTGCCGGCCTCAGTCAGCTCCAGCTGCATCTCAGCACCCGGCACCGTGCCAGGCAGACAGGGCTAAGCACGGTTGTCGATGTCCACGTAGTACTGTGGGGACTGCCACCCCCCGGGGCCCCCTGGATCTGAGCTTTTCAGCGGCCTAAGTCCACCTGGGGAAAATAATAGGTTCCAGTAATTTTAAATTCCTCCATTATCAAAGGCATCAGAAGAAGAGTTAGTAAATTGACTGGACTAGTTAAATACTTTAGGAGGGGCCGGGGATTTAGCTCAGTGGTTCTGCTGCCTGCCTCGCAAGCACAAGGACCCGAGTTTGATCCCCGGTACCAAAGAAAAAAAGAAATGCCTGAGGAAGGGACCAGAGACCCCCCCCGCCCCAACATATGTCATGTGTCAGAGTAAACTCCAGGTCCATTAAGGATTTGTATATAAACAATTAAGAAAAAGGATTCATAGGATCTTGGCCTCTAAAGAAATCATAAGACAAAGGGTGATAGATTTTATCATGGTTCACCAGCCCGGTACACGTATTCTCAGAACAAAGAATGCAGAATGGGGGAATATCTGTATTACAGTGATACCCGAATTGTCGAACACTGCCAAGCTTGACCTTTCCATTACTCAAACAGCAAAGTTCAAAAAAAATCTGCTTGGTGTTGGTAACTGCTCAATAGCCGAACTGAAAATCTGACTTGAAAAAACCTGTACGGACTGAAAGTGAGTCACACGTCGAGTCTCACTGCAGACATTAAATTAAATTAATGAAAAGTAATACTAACATAAAAAAGGTGAGATGCTTCAGGGCGGGCGCCGCTGTTGCCTGGACAGCATCCAGTGCCGTGTCACAGCCTTCGCCCTGGTGCTTTGTTTCTGTTTGCCTAGAATATCATACCACGGCTGCAAAGAAAGTAAATGAGCCTTGCAGTAAGCTAAGAGGAAACTGTGAGAGCCATGATGGAGTTAAAGGAGGAAGTCATTGCAAAATTTGTTAAAATTTGGGCAAAATGAATTTGTAAGTGTAAACTTTGGGCCTCGGAACCAATTATGTGGTTTTCTACTGTTTCTTATGGGGAAAACACAGTGTGTGCAGTTCTCAAACTTCCTGGTGTTTGAACACGAATTTGGCATGGAGCTCGACAGCCAAGGTTTCGCTGTACAGGGAAGATTTCTGTTCTTAACGTAGAGACAGTTCTCAGTCTCCCTGTGCACAAATGAAAAGATAGTGCATTAGGTAACTTGGTGCAGATAGTGGGGGAGGAAGAAAAAGTTTAACCTTAGATGTAGGGTATTGAAGACAGTACAAAGCTAGATTAAAGATGACATGAAATTGGCAAAAGAAATTTTAATAGAATAACAAGTCCTTGCATAAACCCACACATACATGGTCAGTTGATTTTGAAAAAAGGTGCTAAAGCAATTTACTGGGGAAAAGATGTTTTTTTTCAGCTATGTTGCAGAAACTGTTAAATGAACCTCGATCTGTACCTTACCCTGTGTGTGAAAGCTCAACTTGCTTCACAGACCTAGAAGTAGCATGTGAACCTAAAACTTTTAGAAGAAAACCTAGATCTTTGTTACCTTAGCATAGGCAAAGAGATGTCACATACAATTACAAAAGCATGATCTGTAAAAGAAAAACTTGATAAATTGGATTTTATAAGAATTAATGCTTGCTGCTTGAAAGATACTGTTAAGCACAGACTAGGAGAAAATCATTGCAAATCAAATACTGTATAAAGAAGTCTCAAAACTCAGCCATAACGGGCAACCCAGTTTAAAAATAGGCAAAAGATTTTTACAAACAGGTTAGCAAAGACTGAACTTGGCAAGTCAGCGCCATTTGTCATGAAGGAAATGCCGGTGAAAACCACACCCGTGAAGTGAAGTGGCCTGCCTTCCAAACCCTGGTGGTTCTCAGCCTCGGCCTCCGAGACAGAGTAGAGCAGCAGGGCTCCGTTATCTTTGGAAAGTGGCTTGCGGGTTCCTAGAAAGGTTAGTGGGCACTCACCTGGCAAGCCCACTGTGTCCACCCAAGAGAAGCGAAGATGTGTGTTAGCAGAAAGCGAGTACACAGGGCTTTCCTGGCTGGCTGCCTGCATAACTGGCGCTAAGGGAGATGAGTTGGGTCATGCCCGCACCGCGGGGTACACGGGGCAGCAGCACGTGGGCAACCAGACTGCAAGCTGCGAAATTCCACTTCTAGGGGCAGAAGGGGGACCCGTGGGGCCCTATTTAGTGCCTTGGGAAGGAGAACCTGTTTTAAGTCTTAGCTAAGAGGGCCGGGGATTTAGCTCAGTGGTTCCGCTGCCTGCCTCGCAAGCGCAAGGACCCGAGTTCGATCTCCGGTACCAAAAAAAAGTCTTAGCCAAGAGTTGCCACATGCAAGTGATTCCCGTTAACTGATATTTTAGTGGTTTGTATGTTATCTTATGAAAATCCTCGATGTTTTAAAAATCACCTTAAAACACTGAAGCACTTCACTAGCTATGAAATGAGCATCGAGACTGCAGACTTCCAACTTACAAAGTGCTGACCATGCAGACTCTAGTGTGTACTCGACTAGAGAAATTGAACTGGACTAAATTGTACTAAATTTAAACATTTCTGCTTTCTGCTTCAAAGTTAGACCCGTAAAGTTCTGTTGCATTTGCATTTGTCCCAGTCTTGAAGGGAACTTGAAATGTGCAGTCACTGCTTGAAAGTCTCGTGCCCCACGGTAGAGGACCCTCCCTCTGAACGGTGTCCACTCTGAAGCTCCAGGGCTAAGGCCTGTGTTCCCATACTGTCGCAGGACTTCCAGTAGTGAGCATTGTACCTTTGTAACTAGTGTCGCCACGGAATTGGGCCAAGGCTAGGGCTTTTCCCCTGGAGCTGACAGAAGGAGAGGTTAGGGTTCACAGAGTAGCCTTGAGAAGATCTTGTTTTGGAGAGGCGTGGGTTTGTAGCTGATTCTGCACCGAGGTCTTAGGAGTGCCCCACAGGGTAGCTCTGGGTGGCAGATCACCCAATGTGGCTGTCAGGAAATGCGCCCACGTAGCCGCCTCCCTGGTGACTCTGGCAGGGTGTCACCTTACAGTCAAGGACTTGAAGCTCTGTTCTGAAGCAGGGAAGTGGAGCTGGGGCAGTACCCGGCGGCTGGCCCTGAGGCCTTCCCTGGCTGCAGGAGCACCAATGCGCTCCCTAACACTGCAGTACTGAGCCCTCCAGAGCACACTTTGTCAGTCTCTGGGCTATCGAGAAGCTCTGTGGACCCCACGCCCCTCTTTTTTTTTTTTTTTGGTACCGGGGATTGAACTCTCCACTTCACTCTTAAAGTCATGTTTTATAAGACTCATGGATTTCTATGGAACATTAAAGAATTTTGTTTTTGGTATCAGGTTTCGAACTCGGGACTTTGCGCTTGCGAGGCAGGCAGCAGAACCACTGAGCTAAATCCCCAGCCCACATTAATGAGTTTTATATTTGAGTTTTCTTCGCTCTTGAAGCACTTATGTGTGCTCAAAAAGTGCGAGTCTGGAGAGGAGGTTGGTTGGAATCCAGGGAACCTTGCAGGACCGAGGGTGCCGGGTCACAGGCGTGAGACAGACGCTGTGAGTAGAGAGCACACCTCAGCCTTTTGTCATCCCCTTTCCGACCCCGTGAAGAGGAGGGTCATCGCAGGCCTGAGCTCAGCCTGGGCCACCTAGGCATGTAGTGAGACCCTCTCTCAGAACCTGGAAGGGCGGGGATCACTGCAGAGGTAGCCCAGGGCAGACGCCTGGGTTCAACCCCAGCACAAAGAATGTTTCAGCTTGCTTAAAATACTGTACCTGTGCATCACATCAGCATCTCTTACGTGTATCTGGTTTTAAATTTTACATGCAAGTAAACGAGTGTTCTTGTCCTTCAAGTAAAGGAAGTGTATGGCGTAAGCAGGGTGAAGTGCCCTGCTTTCCCACTTGCTCTGCTTCTGTACCCTGAGGTGCCCTGGCTCCTGCCTGGGGCCCGGCAGTGAGGCCTGCAGTACGATGCTCAGACACCGGCACCCGGGACAGCAGACCCAGGGGAGCTGGGGCGGCCGCAGTCACACAGCGGAGCAGTGTGACAGGTGAGCCCGGCTGGCCACTGGTGCAGGATGCCACGGGCTGGCTGAGCCTCCTCCTGGCCTACAAAGCTCATGGGAGGCTGAGGTCAGCCACAGCTGCCTTCACTGGCCACCCCTGCAGGCGCTTCTCGGCTTCCTGACCCTGAGTAACCTTTACCGCCTGCCCTGCACCCTGAGACCATCTCAGCCCCTCTCCATTAGGGTTCCCGCACTCATCAGACTGGTGTTGCCGGCCCTGGCTGGGACAGGGACACCCAGCACTCTGCATACGGGGCCTCAGGTACCCGGCCGTGAGGACAAGGTTCGCGATCATAGCCCGTGGTGATGGTGCCGCCCTCGGTGGCCGGCTCTCTGCTTGGGCAGGGGACAGGGTGGGGACCTCAGGGGAGAGCAGGGTCCTGGGGCCCCTTGGTAGAGTTGCCTGCACCTGCTGACACGGAGCCCAGGACCCTCAGCGAGGGCCCGCCATGTCTGGGGTCACCGGGTGTGTGGCAGTGCTGGTGACCACCCGAGTGCACAGGCGGGACTTGAGAGCAGGGGCTGCGCTGATGACGCTTGCTTGGGCAGCATCGGGTTCAGAAGTCACCAGGGGCATCAGATGAATTGTGGTTTGGAGAAGAAATGTTAATAAAGTAAGTCTGAGAAGCTCACGTTCATTCTCACTGCCTTTGTTGTTACGGGAGGGAACATTTCTCTGTGAAACAGCAAAACCTTGCTTCTGAGCAGATCTTTGATGGAGCCAGGATGGTGGAAATATCCTCAAACATGACTCAAAGACTTGCTTCCAGACTCGTAGGGCAAATTCTTCATGCCTGTCAGCCCCACTCCTGGACCCGACAGTTTTGGACTTTGAGAGTGCTCTCTAGTCCCGTTCCTGGGGGTGAACCATGGATCTTGTGTGAAGCAAGCACTGGTGACCCAAGCGCTGGGTGACTTTGGACGCAGAGAGTTAGTTATTCTGGTGTGAGTGGGGATTCAGCCTGGCACGCAGCAATGGTCGGGGTTCTCCGCATCGAAGAAGCTGCAGAGGCCTGGGCTCCGTTCAGGTGCCCGGACCACCCATTGTGAAGCAGCGCTGCTGAGAAAGCCCGGCCTCTTCCACGAGAACTGTGCGCGCTGGAAGCAAGAGGCTGGCTTGGATCTCAGCGCCGGAACTGGGGCGTGAGAGGCGCCTCATTCCACCTGCGGTGGTTTCAGAACTTCCTGTATGGCCTCTTGCTTGACTCATGGCCATCCTGATAAAAGAGGGCGAGAAGAGAAGTAGAGGCTGCTTCTTGGACCTCGCTTCTGACCTTCCCAGGGCTTCCTGATGCGGTTCGTGCTTTGGCTGTGCAGGCGATTCACTTCAAAAACCGTGCTGTAGAAAACCTCTCAGTAATCGGGACACCCCAGCCCTCCTCTGCACTGGGGTTTTCTCAGACGGTCAGCATGTCCCTTTTCCTCCTTTGTTCGCAGTTTGGTCTTTTTATCCTGCCTGCAGTGAGCTTTGTAATGTGCACTGCACCCCTAGCCTGGAAAGAGCCTGGTTCAGCCGCCCGCTGCAGACCACAGACTCCCACCCTCAGCGCTCGATGAGGTCAGACACCCCCCCGCCCCCGTTTCCTTGTGTTGAAGATTTTTTGTTTTGTTTTAAGCCAAATGAATTACACTTATGTGATTTCTTTTTTTTTTCTATTTCTGTTAACCAAGAGCCCATAGGTGGGTCAGAAATCACAGTGTTTCAGACACTAGTATTAACACTGAATTTGATGGTTCAGTGGTTTGATGTTAACCTGTTAGACAGTGCTATTAACTTTTTTTAACAATGAAAAAAGTCAAGTTCCTACTCCATGTTTTGGCCTTGCTTCCCATTTCCGGTTTTGCTGGGTCCTTGGCAGTCCTGGTGTCAACCTGAGGCTGTGATCCGCCCTCAGGAGTTTGTGGTTTTATTTAGAAAAAGACAGTTGCGCCCTCTGGATGGCGTGCGGCTCCTGGGCTTTAGCTCGCCACCTCGTCACTGCCCAGCCATCCCTGTCCCTGTCCCTGCCCGTCTTTCTTCCCCTCTTCCCCACACTGGCTTTGTGGCTCCCCGAACTTTCCTGCTGTCTGTCTGTCTCCCTCCGTGGTCGGGAGGCCTGCGAGGCCAGGGATGTTTGTCGTCATGGGGTCACTGTGCCTAGAGCAGTGCCTGGCACAGACGAGGAGAGGCCGCACAGCAGCAGGCGCCCTTGAGAGTTTCCTCCATGCTGGATTCTTAGCTGGAGTCCTCTTAATCCTCGGAGTGCTCACAGCAGCTTTATGAGGAAGTAGCTTGCTGTGGTGTTCCCTCAGTGAAGACAGCCCATTCGTAAGTAACTTGGTTAAAGTCATACCACTCTTATGTTTTTTTAGTGGTTTGTTTTCATCTCCTTTGGCCACAGATCATTCAAAGACCAAAAAAGAAAGTCTGAGAAGTAAATATAGTGCTCCCTGAGTGTGTGCAGGAGGCTGGTTCCAGGACTGCCCTGAGCCAAACCCAAGAAGATCCGGTCCCTTACAGCAGAGGGGTTCGGTCTGCATGGAAGATGCTCTTCCCTGTGTGCTTTCAGTCCCCACCGGATGACTTGTGAGGCCCAGTTGGGCAGCTGATGTGTGAACAGTTGTTAGACTGCTGTGTAGGGCAGTGGTGGGAACCTGGGGCATGCGTGCCGCAGCCGGCTGTTTATATCATTGACAGCTCTGAAAGATTCGTTGCCACTGGTTTGGGGCATAATAACAAAAAGTGTGCATGTTCCGGACAGATGCAGGCCTTTTCTGAGTAAGCATGTTGTCCAGGTGGGGAGATCACTGGTCCGTGTAACACTCTGCCCCCTTCCTGATACTTCTGTCCTTTTCTGGCTGAAATGCTTCAGATTGTGGCGTCTGTTTCAGCAGTTTCCGTGGCATAGAGTCATATTTCAGAGTCTCTGGACTTTTGAGCATCTGGGCTCGGAGATTAAGTCCTAACTGGAAACTGAGCAGCGTGCGCGATGTGGCCTTTTCTCGTGTTTAGCTTTTCTCATCACGTGTTACCTCCTAACTAGCAGTGTCTTCACTTGCTGAGCAAACGACTCTGAAGACACTAAGTCCAAATAACGGGACTTCTTGATTCTTATAAGATTAATGCTTAACAGAGAAAGAAAGTTTTCCTTCACCACCTACAAATTTTGGGTAACAGCTAGTTGGTATGTATGCACTTGTTATATTTTTAGAACATCAACTTTGCGTAGTTAGTTATACTATCAGAGACCTGTGTGAGATGTCACCTGTGGTTTAGCGTAAAGTAAAAGTAAAAAAAAAAGAGTTTACTTATTTTTATAAATGTCATTGTTCTACAGGATTTACGTGGAAAGATATAAATTGATTGTAAACCAGACGCATGTGTGTTGGTGGTTAGGCGTGATGATGGCAGTACATTAAACGCTGTCAGCATTTGGCAATAGGAAAAGAAGAATTTTTATTTTAATTGCACAGATTTTTAATCTGTATGCATTTTTTGTTGTGAGTCATTTAAAAATTTTTTCTTTTTGGTGGAAAGGGGCATAGCCAAGCACAAACTAGAAATACAGAATTGGTGAGTTTCCATTCTTGAATAATAGACATCACTAGAAAAATGAGATTTACTTTACAGTTAATTTCTAGAACATAAGTGTTTTGTAAGATAAGGACCAGCAGCCGTAAGGAGGAGAGCTGTATTCGCCACCGTTCGCAGCGGTGCCTGGCAGCTGGCGGCGGCGCACAGCGGGTTGAAGCTCAGCGCCAGCTCCGTGGATTTCCTTCAGTCGCTCAGTAAGGCGCTGCTGGAACCTGGTGTGTGAGTTCTTCCCGGCCATGTGGAGCAGGTGCTGGCGCTGCTCAGGAGGGCGGCAAGCTCAAGCCAGCCCGAGAGAGACACTGGGTGAGAGCCCATTTTGTAGAGGAAGGGCTGCGCGTGCCCGCCATCACCCTGCCTTCTTGGTCTTGGGAGGATGTGGCCCTCTGGGTTCCCAGGTGCAGGCGAGACACGACTGCCAGCCAGTGGCCGGGTGCGGTTCGTGTCCGTCACAGGTTCGCAGGCAGCCTCAGAGCTGGGCCCCACAGGGCCGGGCGCGCTGGCCCTCAGGTAGCTGCCTTCTGTATCTATGTGTTTCTATGTGTTCAGCAGATTTTTCTGTTTCATCTTTTCCATTAGTGCATCCTTAGTAAAATGTATTATACATGTAAAGTACCACGTTGTGTGTAACTGTGGGGTTTCTGCCTTTGGTGCTGTTTTAGTTTTAGTCATTTTTCTTAGCAAATTGTAATGCTCTTGGCCTGGAACCTGTGTTCTTTTGGGTGTCTTACATGAGAGCTGCAGCTGAGCGTTAACAGATGATGACAAAGGCCTGTGGCAGGGTAGGGCGTCCCCTCCTAAGCCTTGTGGGGTTGCCAAGCTTCTGGAGTTGAGTTTTGGTTATGTGGCTGTTCATACTATCATGTGTGTTCTGTTCGTAAGTCCTTTTTATCTTAAGTCCATTTTCATCTCACAAAGCACCCTTTTCCATCCTGTCGGTGGCTTATTGCTGCCCGATGACAGGAGGCTCGCTGGCGCCTCCTGCTGGAGTTGGGAGGCCCGGAGATGCTCTGGAGCTCAGCCTGCAAGTGGGCGTCGTCCTCAGGCTGAGTGCTTCCTTGCATTCTGCTGCTTGAAAGGTGGGGCCTTCTCCTAGTTGGTTACGCCTTGCGGGACGGATCTGTTGCTTCTCTTCATCCTCAGCTGCATTTCGCTGGTCTCTGGGCTGTAATGTTCTAGCTGCCTCATCAGGAGTGAGGTGAAGGACAGCTGAGATACTTGTGACCCTTTCAGGTCTCCTCAAAGCATTAAAGTCTTAGCAGTTTTATTCTGGTGCAGGCTGTCAGGGGAGAAGAACAGTGTGCTGCTCTGGCCTGGGAGCTGGCAAGGCACTGCCACAGGATGATCTTGCCGGCTGCAGAGGGACTTCTGTCTCTCCACAGAGCATTTGCCAGCCTTCACTCTGCAGTGGCCCAGCCTGGGCCATGAGTGAAGCCAGTGAGCACACAGACCCCTTTCCTGCCCTACCAAGGCTTCGGTTTTCTTCCCTGGACATTTTTGCTTTGTGATACAGTGCTTTCGATTGCTTCAGAGGCGCCTACGGGTGCTTCTTACTGCGTGTGGTGTTCACATAGGCCGGCAGTAAGCCTTGTCTGCACTTGCAGATATCTGGAGCCTGGGCGTGATCCTGTTCATGCTGGTGTGTGGGCAGCCGCCCTTCCAAGAGGCCAACGACAGCGAGACGCTGACCATGATCATGGACTGCAAGTACACGGTGCCAGCCCACGTGTCGAAAGAGTGTAAAGAGTAAGTAGACAGGCGCGTGACCGGAAGTGTGAGTCCACTCCTCTCCGTGCCCGCTCAGTCTGCGGCGATTCAGCTTCCAAGCATCCGAGTTCACTTTCCTCTTTGAGTTTAATATTTCTGTGGTTTTGAGAGACGTTGGGGGGGGAGCCCCAGATTTTCACTTGAAATTCAGCATTAGAATACAGGTAAGTGCTCACACGCTTACTCCATGTGCTTGTTAAGTATGCTTGCTTTCAAGAAGCCCCTCACTGGCCGCCTCCGAGGTGGCGATTTCTTCGCTTGAAGTGAAGACACCACCGTGGAAGTTGCCTTTCTCTGCAGCAGTGTGAAGCTTCTCTCTTGCGCTGTTTCAGGTTCCCATAGCAGGGCTCGATTTTATCCCTGCATTGCTCTTGGCCGTTTGCCCATGAGCTCTGTTTGGGCGCACGGGAAGCGGCGGTGAGATGTGCACCAGGCTGGTCCCTCGCGGTCACAAGTGTTGCACCCTGGTCATTGCTGTAGCGAGAAGTCGCTGATGGGGCGAGCTCTTGGAGTGTAGTATTTCATTGATATTCTCAGTATTTTAAAATGAACCCAGCAGAGATCATTGCCACTAACTAAAGGATTTGCTAGAATAACGACGTTTTGAATTTCTCCTAACACCTGTGAAGAGGAAACCTGCCAGCTTGAAGATCTTTCTTTCCCAGTGGAGCCGCATCTTAGGTGCCAGTTAAGAAGTTAGGGTGTGAAGGTCTGGATCCACTCCTTACAGGTCAGGTGTCAGAGCACCGGGACGCACCTCAGAGGTGACGCGCTCGATGCACGTGGAGTGCAGGGCTCGGTCCCTGGCGTGCACAGGAAAACCCAGCGAGTAGCGCCACCCAGATGGGGCTGACGTGGGCCCTGCGTTCTTAGAGCCCATGCCCAGCACCACCGAGTCGGGCAGGCCTCCCTCGGGACTGGGCAGCGCACCCCTCACTCTCTCATCCGCCTCCCTGAAGCCAGGCCAAGTGTTTGTGGGGTGCGTGCTGCCCTCATGCTGTCCTCTGCAGGCGTACCCATGGAGCGCACGGGCCCCGCCTCACTGCATGGTTGGTGCTGAGTCCTCCTCGTGTGTTTATTCAGTCAACACAGTGCTTTAAATAAAACCCATTTCTAGAAAGCTCTTTTTTTTCTCCAATACTGGGGATCGAACTCAGGACCTTGGGCTTGCAAGGCAGGTGCGGTGCCACTGAGCTAAATCCCTGGCTTCTAGAAACATCTTGCATGGCATTTCACTTGTTTACAAGCTGGCTGGCTGTCACTGCCAACCACTGTGTCTGGTACTGGCGTGCTCTGCGCCCACGGCAGCTGGGCACATGTTGGTACCTGCGTTAACTCCACGGCACAGTGACGCTGTTGGTGTGCAGGCTCATCAGCGCAACTGTAGGTTGTAGTTTGTTACTTTACAAATGTGACGGCACTGAACTCTCCTTGTGCCCATCTGGGAACCTGGTGGGATCGATGGTGTGAGAGATGTTTAATAAGTCTGCCCTTGCTCATCTTTGTAAGCAGTTTGCTGTAACGGCCACCCTCCCTTCTTCTGCAGCCTGATCACCCGGATGCTGCAGAGAGATCCCAAGAGAAGGGCCTCTTTAGAAGAGATTGAAAACCATGCTTGGCTCCAGGGGGTGGATCCTTCACCGGCCATGAAGTACAACATCCCCCTCGTGTCCTACAAGAACCTCTCGGAAGAGGAGCACAACAGCATCATCCAGCGCATGGTGCTCGGGGACATTGCCGATCGCGATGCCATTGTAGAGTATGTCAGTTCTGACCAGTAGGGGCCCAGGATGGGGTTACCAGAAGGGGCTTGCTGGGTCTTTGGGACCCTGTGTTGTGGTAGAGCCCCAGCTGGGAGGAGTTACGTCTTTATTTAGTGCCCCCGCCCGGTGCCTGACACACAGGGTGTTTTGATTGGGTTTTGTTCTAGTGAACAGGTGAGTCACTGCCGGGTGGTGTCAGTGAGTGCGTGGCCTTCTCACTTCCAGTGGGGTGCAGTGCAGCGGCTGGATTGTGTCTGGGAGGACAGCTTGTCTGTAGCAGTGTCCTCTTCCTTGCCAGGTCTCCTGCCGGTCTCCATAGGGAGTGGGGAGATCAGAGCAGCCCTGCCTGATCTCCTCTGGATGACACAGTGCCCATGCTCGTGTATGGTCAAGCTGAGCTCAGTCCTCTCTCCCTGGAGCCCTGTGCAGCATCGGGCCCTGCAGGCTTTCGTGGTGTTGCTTTCTCTTCACACCAGAAGCAGGGCTTTGGCTTTTGCTGTTCTGATGCTGAGGACAGAACCCAGGGCCTCGTGCATGCCAGGCAAGGGCTCCACCACCCAGCCCCCACAGCCAGGTGTCAGTAACCCGAGCAGCTGGGTGTCAAAGAGCATGTAGATGCAACTGCTTCTCATGACAATTTTTAAGAGGTCCTGGCTAAATATTCAGTGTTTCCATAGACAAATATCAAAAGTTATTTATTTCATTGAAGAAACAGTTGGGTATGATGGAAAGAGGAAACAGCTAAAAGCCCACGCGGAGGTAACGGCTGGGGCCCACTGTGTTCTGACTGCGGATCTGACCTAGTCCCAGACCCGGGACAGAGGGGCCCATGGTGCCCGTGTGGCCTGTGTACAGGACATACATCTTCGGGGTTTCTCATACCCTGGCGGGAAGGGTTTACAAAAGTAAACAGATTCTTGGTTTGGGTTTCAGTACAGATTTGTCCAAGTTTCCAGGTGCATTGCAAGTCCCCAGAATGACACAGAGCTACTTATGTGAGCTGTCCGAGCAGAGCGCAGGACACGTGTGTCCGCTGAGCACATGTGTGTAGGAGTGTGTGGAGGATGACTAAGGGAGAGGGTTGTGTGCATCTCCCTGATGGCCCAGCGTCTCCCTCAGATCCACACTAGCACTAGTGCATGGAGAGTTCATAGTTAGTGTGACTTCACCCCAAGGGAGCATCTCCATCCACAGGGAAAGGTGTGTGGCGCCTGTGGGCTGTGGCCTGCGTAGTCCTCAGTGCCTCCCGCTGCTGCTTACCCTGAGTTCAGGCTCGCACATTGGCCTGCAGCGTGACCCCAGCCCCAGCGGCTCTGCAGGAAGCCCTCCTGCCGCCCGCCCCATCCCCCAGGCAGACACAGTCAGCACTGACCTCTGAATGGCTTCCGTCCTGAGCATGCGTGGTGTATCGCAGAGCCTGAAAGTCGTCCTTATGTGTTTACGGGCCTCGTGGGGTTTCTGAGGCCCTGTCCCAGGGTGACCCACGGTAGGCCCCATGCCTTGGTGGGTGTCGTGCCCGGCACCAGGGACACAGGTGCGCTGTGAACGCCGCTTTCTAAATGGACGGATGAAAATACTGATTTTACCCAGAAAAGCAGTGAATGATCTCAGTCACCTTAATCCCGTGTGCCCACCGTGCCCGTATTGCAAGGAGAGTTGAAAGCAGACACCCTTTCTGGTTTTCCTGATTGACAGTGCATCAGTGCACACAGGGCCGCAGGTCCTGCCTTCATGTTGTTGCATTGGAAGCAGATAAATCCTTCACCAGTGAATGTTTCACACACAGTGACTTTCAGGTAGCGTACAGCATCTGGGAGGGTTCATCACCATTTCTTGCACATCTGAAACTGACATGAAGCCCACATGCTGTTAGCATTTTGCATTTTTTTTCACTGAGATGAACATTTATGTGTAGTTGCCTTTTAGGATTTCGGTAGTGACTTAAATACCTACTAAGTCTCCTCCCCCGTTTGCCTTTGTGCATGACTTTAAAGCTTCCTGGTCATTAAATTTCATTTTTTTTATCCTTTTGAAAAATCACCAGTCCTTCTTGTGAAAAGCGCAGCTGTCTATGTGGCTAACCTTCCCTCCATTTTTCCTTAGAGCCCTGGAAACCAACAGGTACAACCACATCACAGCCACCTATTTCCTGCTGGCTGAGAGGATCCTGAGGGAGAAGCAGGAGAAGGAAATACAGACGCGGTCAGCGAGCCCGAGCAACATTAAGGCCCAGTTTAGGTGAGGGCAATGTCTTGTAGGGTTACGTTTTGAAGTGGCGCACCTTCCTCTTCTGTGAGGGTGCGGAGAGGCCAGCCAGCTCGGGGCCCTGTGCCGAGCGGGTCCTGTCCCCATGGCGCGGCCTTGGGCTGTGGGCCTGGCCGGGGACAGGCTGGGGAAGCAGCGTCCAGCCGGGCTCACATGCTCCCATTGTCCTCCCCCTGATTCTTCCAGGAACAATGCCAGTTCTTCTCCCGGTGATTTGAAATAGGTTTTAAAATGTGTTGGGCATTTCTGTACCCTCATACTACCCCGGGGTTTAGGGAGTGGGCAGGGATCCTCCAGTGCATTGCTGGTTGGCCCAGCAGGTTGCTTAACCTCTCGCTGACTTAGCTGCCTGCCTTCGGGCTGAGAGGAGTAACTGCTAAGCTGGGATGCTGTGAGGGGCAGGAACATGCAGCACTAGGGCGCCTCACCCTGCTCCTGCTTCCGTGGGGGCCGAGCTCCAGAGTGGAGGGGGCGGTCCTGGTCCCAGCCTAGCACCAGAAATCACTGACTCGAGCCTGTGTGGCCTTGGGCAGGGCCCGGCCGCCCTGCCTGGGTTGGTAAACAGTGGGTTCGGTGTGTGGACCCCTGCGTGCAGCCATCACCGTGGGCCCTGGTCAGTGTGATTGGTCCATCCACGCTTCCTGTTGGCATCCTCCCTTCTCGCCTTGTGGGCCGAAGACGGCGCTATGTCCACCACTTTCGGGCCTTGTGGGGGCAGACCGGAGACACAGGATGCGGGGCTCGGCTCTCAGGTGGAGCGGAAAGGGGAGAAGAGCTCCACCCGTCTGTGCCCCTCTCCCCACCGGGTCTGCCCCGCTGCTCAGTGCGGGCCAGTTTGGGAAGAGCTTCCGAGTCCGGCTGCAGACAGCCCTGACCTCCTGGCCTCGACGCGGCACCCCTTCGCTGTTCCCCTCCTGCACCCGGCGAGCTGGGCTAGGAGGCTGCGTGGGGAGACACCAGTGTAAAGCCCTGGGCATCTGCAGGCTGAAGGCTCCATTGGGCTTTATTTTTAGACCAACACAATTGGTGTGAAATGAAGACGAAAATGTCACCAAGTGGAAGTGGCTGTTTGGAAGGTCTGGTGTCAAGTCGCCTCTGGCACCTCCCATCCCCCAGACAGGGAGGGCAGTTGAGGACTCAGAGCACCATTCAAGGTGGCAGGCAGAGCACTCCATTTCCAGAGTCCCCGGGGGCCACCAAGCGGTGTTCTCATCGTGTGGGTGACTCTAGACTGGAGAGCGAAGCCAGTGTTTAAACAGGACCCGTTTGGCCTCACAGTACTCCTTATGGGCGTGTGAAAGTACACGTACTTAGAGCTAGAGAAAGTTTTTATTTAGGAAGAGATTTATACATGACAGTTATACACTCTTCTCCCAGCACCCATTAAACTGTTTCCACTTATTTTTATAAATGCTGTAAAAGCAGCGCTGGAAATTCCAGGTGAATTTTATTAGCAGTACTACAGCTTACAAACCTGAGCTGTAGGCATCAAAGGAATAAAGTAAGAGGTGTGGTCAAAATATACAGTGAATCTTTACATTTAAAAAATTTATTACAGTAAGACACATCGCTATTAATCCCCCTCAAAATCCGCCTGGCTTTGAACACATTTATCGTTCTTGCAGTTTGGGGGTACACTTTCTTGAGTGTCTTTATGAGGTGTGATCAAAAATACAGTGACTGCTGCTGCCAAGCGCCAGCCCGCAAAAAGGCAGCTCGTAAAACACGGCGCTGTGTCCTCATCTGCCTTGGTCACCGGATCTGGCACCGAGGGACTTCTGGCTCTTCCCAAAGTCAAGATGACCCATCGAGGCAGCCAGGGCAGAGCAACTATAGACCCTCACGAAAGAGGCCTGCAGAGCCGCTGCAGAAAGTGGCCAGGGCGACGGGAGGAGTGTTCAGTGTAAGAGGGAGGATTTTGAGGGGACTCAGGACAGTGTGTCTCTCACTGGAATTTTAAATTTCCGCATTTTCCAATCACACGTCGTCTGGGTGCTGTGCAGGCTTTGGAAAGTGAGTGCTTCCTCTGGGGTGCAGCCCCTCGCCTGCGTGCCCCCGGCAGGCAGCTGTGACGAGGTCGCGCCTGCATGGCCTCCTGTTGGCAGCACGTGGCCCCTGGCATCCCGGCCGACAGGGGCCGGGCAGGATGGGGTTGCCAGGCTGCTGCCCTGTCTCCTTTTGGCTCTGTGGGTTTAGTGCTGTACTTCTCTATGTCTTTTACCAGCGTCTGTGCGTGACTGCATACCTTTTCTCCTTCTGATGTGTTGCACAGGCAGTCGTGGCCAACCAAGATCGATGTGCCCCAGGACCTGGAGGACGACCTCACAGCCACGCCTCTGTCCCACGCAGCTGTCCCTCCGTCTCCGGCTCGGGCCACCGACAGCGTCCTCAATGGCCACAGGAGCAAAGGCCTGTGTGAGTCGGCCAAGAAGGAGGAGCTCCCCGAGCTGGCAGGACCCGCCCTCTCCACAGTGCCTCCCTCGAGCTTGAAACCCGCGGTCAGCGGGCGGAAGTGTCTCTTCAGGGTGGAGGAGGACGAGGAGGAAGAGGAGGAGGACAGGAAGCCCATGTCCCTGTCCACACAAGTGGTTCTGCGGCGGAAGCCGTCTGTGACCAACCGCCTGACGTCCAGGAAGAGCGCGCCCGTCCTCAACCAGATCTTCGAGGAGGGGGAGTCCGACGACGAGTTCGACATGGACGAGAACCTGCCCCCGAAGCTGAGCAGGCTGAAGATGAACATCGCCTCCCCGGGCACTGTGCACAAGCGCTACCACCGGAGGAAGAGCCAGGCCCGGGGCTCCAGCTGCAGTAGCTCCGAGACCAGCGACGATGACTCCGAGGGCCGACGGCGCCTGGACAAGGACAGCGGCTTCCCCTACTCCTGGCACCGGCGGGACAGCAGCGAGGGGCCCCCGGGCAGCGGGGGCGACGGCGGAGGCCAGAGCAAGCCGGGCCCCGGCAGCAGCGGCGCGGAGCAGGCCGGCCCGGGGGACAGGAGCACGGGCGGGGGCAGCCCCTCGGGGGGCACGGGCGGCACCCCGGGCGGCACCTCAGGCTCCACGCGCCGCTGCGCTCCGGGGCCTCCCAGCGCCGTGCAGCTGGCCGCACGCAGCGCCGGGGAGCTCGTGGAGAGCCTCAAACTCGTGGGCCTGTGCCTGGGCTCCCAGCTGCAGGGCGGCGCCAAGCACATCATGGACCCGCAGCGGGCGCGGGCGCTGGCGCTGTCCAGCGTGAAGGTGCAGGAGAAGTCCTCGTGGAAGATGTGTGTGGGCTCCGCCGTGGGCGCCGGCCCGGCCCCGGCTGTGGGTGGCATCCAGTTCTTCTCCGAGCACGTGGCCGGGGCCACCGCCGAACTAGACCGTATAAAGAGCAAGAAGCTGAAAAGCAGCGTGCTGCAGCTGCCTCTGTGTGAAAGGACCATCTCCGTGAACATCGGGCGGAGCCCCAAGGAGGGCCTGCTGTGCGCCTCCAGCCCCGCCAGCTGCTGCCACGTCATCTGAGCCGCCCCGCCCCGCCCCGCGACCGCGCATGGTCTCTGCATGCTGCTAGGCCCGCTTCTTTCCGGCCGCAAAGTCTGTGTGTCATTTCTACCGTCATAATTCTAATGTGGATGATCGGGATGAAATTAAATTGTACGTTTGGAACCTAATGTAAATGGAGCACTTAGAAATTTGATGTTCTGCACTTAACCTAGAGAGAGAGAAATGCATTTGTTTCTTGTGCACAATCTAAGTTCCTGTCCTGACCTTCTGTGATCCAGTAACTCCGTGCTCTGAGGCGCCAGCGGTGCCCGAGACAGAACCAAAGCAATAATGCGGCGTGGCCCTGCCGCCCACAGCCCGGCGGAGCCGAGGACGGCAAGCGTCTGCACTGAGAACCCTGAACTGCGACCCCAAATGCCCGCACCTGTGTCTTACGCTAGACTGTGAAACAGGAAGCTTGGGCTCTCACAGGTCACCGAACAGGATTCTCCCACTTTCCTAGAGGTGAGGGGGAAGACAGCTTTCTGAAGCAGCTTCCCCACGGTGCCCGGCGCTCGCAGACAGTCCCATGCTACGATGAGGTGAGTGCCTGACTGTCCGTCCGTCCAGCGGAGCACAGGCTGCCCGTGGGCAGCGCTTGCAGGGCTGCGTGGGGCCCGCCGCTGGCATCCTCAAAACCAAGCGGACGGAGGCAGCGGCAGCGGCAGGCCCTGCTCGGCAGAGCGCAACAGATGCCGGCCGAGTCTCACGTCTGTGGTGCACACCAAACTTCCTGGGATTTGTTTCCTAGGAGTTTGCTAATAGCTTATCTCTTGTTATTTCCATTTCATTCCATCCTTTAGCTCAGCTAGCTATGAAAATTGGCTGATCAGAAATACAGATAAAAAGGTAAAATTCACTCAGCAGTCAAAGATGTGCAAAGCCTTCTTTGTAGCTGTTCCCCTGTATTTTGTTTTGCCTTCCTGCCAGAAAACAATCAGAGGACTCTGGCTTTAACCTGTCCGAACACAGAGACACTTTAGACCAGATAATCATCTCATGGCAGTTCATCTTGCAGGATGCGATTGATCGCAGATTGTGAATTTCGCAAGGACAGATGCTGTTTTCTCATGCTGTGCCCTGGGGGCTTGAAAGCAGTGTTCAGCAACCTTCAGGTGGGCTGTGGCCGGCCCCGGGCCCCTCCTCACTCTGGCTCCATCACGGCTCGCCTCGGAGTGACGAGCTCGACTCAGAGCAGCAGAGCATGGAAGAGCTGCAGCGGGCAGCCTCGGTGTCCGCAGCACACTGCTCGGCGGCACAGGGCTGGTGAGCGCATCATACTCAGAACTCGACTCGCACAGTGTACCTAACCGTATAAGTACAGATGATACTTAGATCCTCACTTTACTTTGTAGGCCTAGGTAGCTAGATACGTCTTAAGCTACAGCTCTAGTTCATTGTGATATTTATACCGAAAGCTATGAGAATAGATGTGTGGGTGAAGCCATAGAACATATTTGCTTGAAATTCTTGAGCAGGGATCTTTAAAGGGCCAGAAATAAGATGTGTGGTTCACGTAGATAGTGAGCGTAACATCTGTATTAAACGTAGGAGAGAGGTTTCTAAAGGGCATTGGCAATAAACTCTTTGTTGCAGCTGTTTTCCAAGTCCTGTAAATACTTTTCCTGTGATTGTGCATAGCCTTGGAATGGCACCTTTTAACTAACCCACCTGTGTTTGGTTTTCAGTGGTTTTTATATTCAGATGTATATATGGTGCTCACTTTAGGATCAGCAGTGTTGACCATTTATGCTGCAGAGCTGTATCATAGCCTTATTAGTTGTGTGTGGTTGGTTGGCCCTCTGGGCCACACATCTGTCTGAGTGGTGTCTCAGCCGTCCGTAAGTGAATTGACGGTGCATGTGTCGTATGTCGTCGTGCGTCAGCTGTAAGGGAGGGGGCGGAACACCATTACATTGAGATACTCTTGGACCAAACTCCTTAGCCTGCTCCACAGCCACTTGTACCCTAACCTCTGTCTTCAGAAGTTGCATAGAGTTACAGTAGTGCATAATTAAATATTGTGGAAAACAGTCTTGTATTTTTCTGTATGTGTGTATATATATAATTATGTACTTCTGACAATTCTGTATGTATTTAAAGTAGTGACAATCTTGACACCAATTCTAAGAATAGCTGTGAGCCTGGACTGAATTAACGATGTCCTGCAGAATTGATGTGTGTTCCGAGGGCACACAGTTATCAGCTGATTCGCTCAGTTGCTTCCATTTCTGGCGGACTTTCCTCGTTGTGTAAACATTTACAGGTCTGTGACAAATGGAGAATAATCCCAATAATAAAGTGACATTGGTGTTCAGCAGTAGAAGCCGCGTCCCGTCTGTGTGTGTCCTCGAGGTGCCCGCTCTGCGCTCGCAACACCCAGGTCCAGTGGCTCTGCTGCTCGAGCTCGGATCTGTCCCGTCTCGGGTCACTGCGCCCTCCAGATGCGTGGAGCGAAGACCCGCCCTGCTCACTCCTGGTCCGTGGGAGCGGTGGGGACCAGGCTCCGGTCATTCTGTCCTTTCTCTTGCTTCGTCCGTCTTCGCTTCTGCGGTGGACTCTTCCTACAGCAGATGAAGCCAACGTGACTCCATTTCCCTCTACAGCGCGTTGCTCTGGTGGCCGCGTCCTTGGGTCCTCTCCTCTGCTCCCCGTTGCCACGCTGGCCCTGCTGCTGCCTCACGGGGGCTGCTGTGCTAGAGTCAGTGATACCCACGTGACAGGTCCAGTGGGCCAGTTTGGCAAGTGGCTTTACTGCCTTGTAAGTCACTTACTGCGGAATTTGCTGTTTAAATTTGTGAAATTGTGCAGTTCAGTGGGACATTCATTGATTCTGGGTGACCACTGCTGTAATCCATTTCACCCCCTCCACGAGGCCTAGGCCTTGTGTCAGCCCCGCCCTGCAGCCTCAGGGTGGCATCGTCCGAGGTCCCTTCTCACACCCCTCCACCTCTGCTTGGAAACTTACTGTCTGTCCACCCTACTTCCTCCTTGCTGCTGTTCAGTCCCCTCTCCTTGGTCCCCAACCTCGGAAGGTGAGATGCCAGGCTCCCTTCTGGCGTCTGGTCCACCTGCACATTGCCATCTGTGCTGGCAGAGCCCCCAGAGCATCATGTCAACTGTTCACTTCTCCCCGTGGACGCGTCCACTCAGGTCTCAGTTGTTCTGAGCCCACACCCGCAGCCTCACCTCAGTCCTCCCTGATGCTATCATGGTGACCCCAGACCGCCAGAACCCTCAGCATCCATCCTCTACTCTTCCATCCTGATGTCCAGGCCCCTCTCACTGCTTCCATGGTCACCACTCTGGACAGCTGAGCATGTCCCCTAACGGCAGAGCTCCGCAGCCCTGCGCTCAGGCACTGGGCCCAGCTGGTCCTATCGCTCGAGCACCGCCTCCTCTCAGTGGGCAAGGGCCCTGCACGCTCCCCTGACAACCTGACCCCCTCCACCCTGTCCGTGGAGAAACTTCCCCGAAGCCAGTCCCTGATGCCCACAAGCAGGGCACCACTGTCTCAGGCGGCCTCTGCCATCGCCCTGGGCTTTGTTCTCTCTTCCCCACTCTGCAGTACACATGATCATTTTAAAGGATAAATTGCAAATGTACTAAGAAAAAGTAAAAACCGGAAAAAAATAGCAAAACATGCTTTAAAAGGTGTTTACAAATGTTTGGGGATTTTCCACAAGTTTCTGTTACTAGTTTCTAGTTGAATTCTATTTTAATCAGAACATGCTTTCTACAATTTTTTTTAAAGGCAGGATTTTGCTCTGTGTTTTAAGGTTGGCCTTGAGCTCACTATGTAGCCCGGGCGGGCCTCAAACTTGTGGTGATCCTCCTGCCTCAGCCTCCCGAGTGCTGGGATTACAGATGTGTGCCACCTCACGTGGCCGATTCAAGTCTTAAGCTGAAAAGCTTGTTTCATGATGAAGCATGTAGCCTGTGCTGGTGAATGTCTGGGGTTTTAGGAAAGTGCTGCTGGATGTTCTGCACGCCAGCTCAGTGGGTTGGCAGTGTTCATGTTCTGTGTCTTTACTGATTTTCTCCCACTGTGGCAGCTCTTGAGAAGAAGGTTGAACCAACCATATAAGGGGTAATACAATTCTAAAAATTTATCGGAGTAAAAGACACACTGCCAATAATCCCTGTCAAGATCCTCCCTGAACCCTCAGCCCATGGTTCTGTCCACATTCTGAAGCAGCTCTGGAGTCCTTTTTTTTGGTGCTGGGGATTGAACTTGGATCCTTACACTTGCGAGGCAGGCGGTGGAACCACTGAGCTAAATCCCCGGCCCCGGAGTCCTCTTTCTTATCTAACTAAGTGTGATAAAAAATACAGTGGGTGCTGCTGCCGAGCGCCATCCAACAGCAAGGCAGCTCGTAAAAACATGAGGCTGCGTCCTGGTCCACCTCATTCACTGGATCGGGCACCGTGTGACTCTGACTCTCCCCCAAAGTCGAAATGACCATGAAAGGTCAACATTTTGAACCAATTCAGGACATCAAGGAGCTTGGACAGCGCAGCTAAAGACTCTCAGGAAAGTGGACTCCAGAGCAGCTGGACAGTGGCAAGGATGATGGGATGCCTGCGTTTGTAGCAAGGAGGAAGATTTTGCCAATGTGGCTTTTACTATAATAAACTTTTAAAATTGAAACCCTATTTTCTGATCACACCGGTGTGTATCTTCACTTCTGTCAGTTTTATTTCATGGAACTGGAGCCCTGTTGTTCAGCACATATGCATTTATGGGTCGTTAGTGTGCAGTGCCCTTGCCCTGGGAAAGGATTTTCTGTTCTGAGACCTGATTTGTGTGACCCCAGCAGAGCTCCTCCACCTTCCTCTTGGCCCTGAGAATCTTCCATTCTTTGCTCTTAACTGTGATGTTAAATTCAGGTTTTTACTCAGCCTAGAGTTAGTTGGGTTTTGCTTATTTGGCCAATTTGCTTTTGCCGGAGTGCTCAGACCCGTTACATTGAGTGCGGTTGTTGAACAGTTTGACTTAAACCTTCCTTTCTCTGGTTGCTTTCTATTTGTCTCATCTGGTCTTGGTCTCTTTTCCCTGCTTTCCTACCTTCTTTTGGTTTGACTAATCACTTTTTCCCGACACTGGGAATTGAATCCAGGACATCTCCAACCCTTTCTTACTTGTTGATAGGGTCTCATCCAGTTGCTGAGCTGCTTGGGGTGGGCTCAAACTTGCAGTCCTCCTGTTTCAGTCTCCCGGAGTGCTGAAAAGATAGAGGTGTGCACCACATCTGCTGATCACTTTTTATTCCATTTACTGTCCTCTGTTGGCTTCTTGTGCTTTTTCAGTGGCTGCTGTAGGCTTTACAGTATATATCAGTACCTCGCAGCCTACCTTAGAATGTCAGGTGGAATATCAGTCTACATCTGCATGCTTCCATTTTCCTTCTGTTATTTGTGCGATTGCTATTTTATTTTTACATATGTATAGAGTGGTAAAAATAGTTGTTAGGATACTAAATGAGAGGGGAACATTTTACCTACGTATTTGTAATTTCTAGCACCCTTCATTTCCTGGTGAAAACACAAATTTGGGTGTTTTCCTCCAACTCTAGAACAGTCATCACTTCTCACAGCACAGGTCTGCTGGAAGCCCTCCTGTTAGCTTTGCTTGTCAAAAAAATTTTATTCACGTATGAAAGATAGTTTTGCTGGGTATAAAATTCTAGTTTGCCTTTTTAATTTCAGTGCTGAACAGTGAATTGCACATTGTTGAATGTTGGATTTTGTTGTATTTATGAAAAAAGTCGGATTTCAGGGCAGTCCTGTCTGGCCTGTGGCCCAGTGTCTGAAAACCATTGCTTCATGCACTGTTCGGTTTTCTGGCAAGAGGGCCGACCACGGTCCCCTCCCGCTGTCATGGCCGCCAGTGAGTCTCAGTAACAGGCTCCTCCCCTGCTTCTCTGCTGGCTTCTCCTCAGTGTGAGAAGCCGGGGTCTTCTTGTGACTCTTGTGTCCCCGTCTGTCCCCACTAATTCTCTGACGTAATCTCCTCTCCACTCCCAGGTCCCCGACACCAGTGACGGCCTTGCTGGCTCCTCAGCAGGTGTGCCCCCCCCCCCGCCCCGGGCAGCCTCAGCTGGGCCTGGCCTGGCTCTTGGGGCCTTAGTGCCCACCTGGAGAGGGGACAGTGGCCCTGTGCCTGCCCTCTGCCTGTCTGGTCTCCCGGGGCCTTTCCCTCATAGGGTGCAGGTGGAACAGAATCCATACTGTGGTCCTGCTAGGTCCCTAGAGGCCCCTGCTTCTGTCAGGTCCCCTCTCAAGCCACTCTCAGGTGCCGTGTGGAGGACGGAGGGAGAAAACCTCGCTGGGGTCATGCTGTCAGGCACCGACTCTGTGAGGCCCAAGACCGTCTGGATCTTTTTGGCCTGTGCCTCTGTCCCTCGTCCTCCTCCCTGGTTTCTTGTGCAAGGAAACAGGAGCTGCTGGCTTGGGCTGGGGACAAGGCAGTAGGGTTGAGGGCCTCCTGCAGGTGCCACACCAGGTGAGAGCTCACTTGGGCCCATGGGCCTGTTTTCTCCCCATAGCCAGGACAGCAGCAGGAATCTGGCCTGCAGGGCACACCCAGGGTGTGGGGGCAGCAGGAGCCCCTCCTGGGTCCTGTGTGTCCGAGGGGTCGGGATGAGGTGACCTGGCCTGGCTGCAGCTGCTCTGGCCACCTATGGGACCTGGTGATTGTCTGTCCCACCTGTGGAAGGAGGCGAGCTCGAGGTGCGTGGACAGGTGACAGAGGACGCGGTCCCTGCCGCCGTCTCTGGAGGTGGAGGCATCCAGCCCAGCTGCCACAGTGCTGGCAGGGACGGTGTCCGCGAGTCGGGGGCGCTTCCTGCCTGCCCACAGGGTGACCCTGGGCGGAGCCCCACAGCTTGCTGGGACCCAGCCGAGGGGACCTTCTCCTATGACCCGCCCCACACAGTGTGCCCCCGCCATCCCTGGTGACAGCCCCTCCTTGGTGACAGCTGCATGGTGGCTGGGAGAGCCTGGGCCTGGGGTCCAAGCTCCCCACGGCTGGGCGAGTCCCCCTCGCTGGCTGTTCTGTGGAGCTTTGTCCCTGCCTCCTGCCCACTGTCAGGGAGTGGGTGCCCCTCTCCCTGCAGCCTGAGGAGTGTGGGCTTCCACTTGCCACGGTCCTCATTCCCACTGGGTGGGGGTCATCGGGGGTGGCCAGGAGCCCAGGCTGAGGGGAGCCCACCAGTGAGAGCACGGAAGAGTCAGCAAGGCGAGGCTTCCAGCTGGAAGTGACCCAAGGGGCAGAGGGGACCCTGCGAGCCAATGTGGGGGACAGTGCCCCGCACCCTCAGCTCAGTCAAGGGGCGCTGGTGTGTGGGCAGCAAAGGGCACGGCAGTTCCTGTCCCATCCTGCCAAGCGTGCCACCTGGTTTCTGAGCAGGGCCACAAGCGGATGCCACCTGTGTACGTGGGGTACAAGTCTGGCTGAGCAGTGCCCCGGCTGGTGGTGTGGCCAACAGGGACAGAGGCAGAGCTGTGAGCACAGATGGCTGAGGGGCCCCTGGTGCCCAGGACCCACCCTCACAGCCAGTGTCCACATGACAGTCCCCAAAGCCAGGCTCTGGCGACCACAGGAGCTGGGCCCGGGCCCTACCCGACCCTGTCCCTTCCCAGCGTCTCGGGGCAGGCTGGGCGATGAGCCCTCTGGCTCAGGGCACTCGGGCCTGGGGTGGCTGCCACCGCCTGATTCCTTAGGACACGAGCCCTGCGGAGGGGCCGTCCTCACTGGTGACGTGGCGGCGGGGAGCCGGGCTCCCAAACACAAGGGACTTGGAGGTGAGGGCGGTGGCGCGGAGCCGCTGGTGGGGACAGGCTCAGCCCCCTGCCCGGCCCCAGGCCTCTTCGCCAGGGCATTCAGCAGCCCACAGTCTGAACCGGGCTCGGGACAGAGGCCCCGAGCCCTCCCAGCGGCCGAGCCTGTCAGTGGGATGGGGGATGGCACCTCCACTGCGGCACGAGCCCCCAGGGCACCTCAAGTGGCAGCACACTGCGCGAGCAACTGGCCTCGCGGGCCCCCCGGGCAGTGGCAGAAGCAGCAGCAGCAGCTCTCCCGGAGGCCCGGGTCCCCACCTTGCCTTCCTGTCTCCCCCCTGCGCCATTATGCTGAATATTTGAGTCGGGGTCTTGCTGAGTCACCTGGGATGGGCTCAAACTTGTGACCCTCCAGCCTCCGCCTTCTCAGGAGCCGGGATCCTGGATGTCTACCACCAGCCACTGCTCTGCCTTTGCCGATCTGACCCAGGTTCACCTTAGAACAGAGCAGTTCGGGGCCCATCTGGGCAGGGAAGCCAGAGTCAGAGGTGTTAGGTGGCCTTTAATGCTCGTTGACACCGGGAGGAGGCTCAGGGTAGGGAACTGTTCCCCTTCTGCAGGGCAAGCCCTGGTGCAGCAGGCAGACCGTGGGGCCTTGTGGAGAGCCTGCCACAGGGCGGCAGGGGCGCTCCGGAGGCAGCAGAGGGCGTGGACGGCTCCCACGTGGGCTTGGCTTGGTGACACGGCAAGGGACAGGCGTGGGGATGGGCTCAGGCAGCCGTCTCCTTCCCCCCTTCCTTCAGGCTGTCGGCTGCCGGCTGCACCTGCTGTTGAGAGAGCACAGCGTGGCGTGAGTGGCCTGCCTGTGCCATGGGCCTGGGCACCGCCTGCCTTCGTCCTGTGGCCCAGGCTGTGAACCGGCCCCCCGCAGCCGGGCTCGAGACACAAACCCGACCAGGCCGGCTGTTCACTCAGAGAAACAAAGCTGAGCGTGGGCCTGTGTGTCCGTCCCCTGTACCCGGGTTGCTTCCTGCGGCTCTCGGGGCCACAGAGCAGAAGCGCCTGTCTCCTGCCCCACGGTCGCTGCCCCGCCCCAGTGGCTTCCTCCTCAGGCGGCAGAGATGGTGGTGGATCCGGGTGAGCAGGGTGGGGTTCTTTCTGCAGGCCTGGGTGACTGGTGACAGGCCTGAGGCCAGCCCAGGGCCTGCCCTGTTCTGTGGCCGCGGCCCGAGGATGTGGAGGCTCGGCTGGCGCAGGCTGCACCCTGCTCAGGCCCCCACAAGCTGCCCCGCCTGTCGGCTCCGGACGGATGCCGCTGTCCCACCAAGGCAGCCTGTGAGGGCTGAGCTCGGTGGCCGTCAACGCGTGAGGCGGGAGGAGAGCGATGAGCCGGCGGCCTCTCCTGGACGACCAGGAGCACCGAGCACCCAAGGCTGCCCGCGTCCGACTCCGCAGAGGGACTCGGAGATGAGGCCGGCCCGCTCTGTGCTCTGTGCCGGGGCTCCCCACTTGCGCGTGTGGCTGTGCTGGGGGAGCGCCCACAGTGCCGGTGAGGGGACCCAACAGTGCCAGGCCGGCGGCCCCTCCCCTGGGTCCCGCCTGCCCCACCGGCCAAAAGCCCCTTCCCATCCCCCATCTCTCTGGGCCCCAAGCGGGCCAAGTGATGTCAGAAAGCGGACAGAGCACCACCCGGAGCTGAAGCCTTTCCCTCGTGCCAGCGCCAGCCGGGCTCTCCACCGCCGCCTGCCCCTCCGGCCCAGGCTCTGCATCCGCCGGTCCCTTCCCCACGGGGCGGCTGCCACCGGCACACCCCTGCCTGCTAATTCCTGCCTGGGTGTTCAGGGCCTGTGTGCGGTCTTCCTCCCGGTTTGGGGCTTTGGGTGTGGCTCCAGCCTGGAGGCCACCACACCACACAGCTGTCTGTGCGGCCCACGCAGGCTCAGCCATGCAGCACCAGCCCCAGGCTGTGCCGGGCCTCGGGCCTGAGGCCTGTGTTCCACTAGGCCCCGAGCTCAGACTCTGCCTCTGCTGACCCAAGACTTGGCATCTTGGCTGAGGACCCAAACTTCCCTCCTCTTCCCCAGAAGGAACCGAGTCCTCAGCCCAGCCAGCACCTGCAGGGAGGAGGCGACCGACCACAGAGGGGAACAGGAGCCCGGCAGGAGCTGAGCAAAGTGCAGTCTCGGCACACTGCCGACAGTGGCCAGGAGCGGGCAGGGCAGCGCTGTGCTTGGAGAAGTGGGGTCCCCTGCACCCCGCCAGCGTGGGCCTGCAGTCGCCAGGGGAGGGCAGAGGCGGCGCAGGGCTCTGATCACCTGCACTGTAAAGCAGTCTGAGGCCTCTGGACGGGAGCAGCCCTGTGAGGACAGGTGTGGCCCCATCTGTGGGTGAGGAACAACACTGTCCTCCACTCCAGGATGGGCTTAGTCTCCTTCCTGTGTTCCGGGAAGAAAGGTAGGGGCGTGTGTGTGTGTGCACGTGTGTGCGTGCGTGTGTGTGTGTGTGTGTCCCCGTCCAGGACTTCACACTAGGTCTACTAAACTTTCAAGCAGGGTCTTGCTAAGGTGACACCATGACTCCACGGAACATCAAGCACATGTTCCTTCCAAAGTGTCTTATGGTCTTAAATAAATGAACACCCAGAAAATGTTTCAGGTTTGCCAGGGTTTTCACCTGCAGTTTGTCTAGCCCATCCTTGTAATCTTGAACAAATCCAAAGTCCCCAGTATTGCTGGGATCTTCTGCCAAATGGTGTCTGAGGGTTCAGGCCTGGGACGCTCTGGTGTGTTGGGGACCCAAGCAGTCCCACCTGGGGGGACCCTGGGGTGACAGGGGCCGCACCTCAGGATGGACCCGGGGAGCAGGACATGTAGGAATGAGAAAGACCTTCACTGCCCGGAAGTCTGCTATGGTGGAACCTTGAAAATTCAAGGAGGGCTCTAGGGGTCAGTGTCACAGACCAAGAGGCAGGCGTTGAGGTAGGACCAAGGCATGAGGTCAGCCCCTTCATGAACGGACTCGGTGCCCGTGAGCGACAGGAAGCCCCTCAGCTCCTACCCCTCAGGCTCCCAGCCCCAGGCGCTGTCGTGAGCAGGACACCTTTCGAGCCAACACGAGGCAGGCTGTGCCTTAATCCTGGGCTTCCCAGCCCCAGAACTCCGAGAAACGCATTTTGATTGCTTAAAAAGCGTTCGGCCTCAGGTATTTTGTTACAGCAGCCTGAAGAGGCCTGTGTGGGGACCCAGGGGGTCCGGACTGTTGTGCCTGGCAAGCTGGTGAAGACTCCTGCAGACTCTTCCAAGAGCTGCAGCTTCAGCCTCCAGGATGTAGTCAGCATTGTGTAATTGCCAGCAAATGCACCCTGTACCACTGAAGGAATTATCTACCTCCTCGGGGTTGGGGAGAAAAACACTTTTTCTCTTATTACTTCAAGTAGCACAGCAGCTAAAGTGAGATCAACATTTTAGCCATTCTCGAAAGTGCATTGTGCAATAGGAGGAGAAACAGCTGAGCTGGACACCCTGGGAACCCTAGAAACAGGCTCAGGGGCAGCAGGAGGAGCCCGAGGGCCAGCAGAGCCCTTGCCTCACCTTCGGGTGCCTGGGGACTGCGGGCCCTGAGCAGCTGCTGCGTCTGAACCCACACAGCTGCCCCGGAGACAGGAGCCCACGGGGCAGTGCTGGGGCAGTGCTGACCGAGGACACGCATGGAGGGCAGTCTGCTGCCGAGTGTCCTGGGCCAACGCGGGCATCCCAGCGGCGAGAGGAGCCGCCCTCGGTCTTTGAGTCTAGTCTGAGGCGAGAGGCACACTGCTGCCCCAAAGCCATCAGCACCGGGGGGGAAGGTCCCACAGCTACGGAGGGAGGAATCGGCCCAGCAGGGGACAGGGGCGGTGCAAGAGGGGCTGGGAGTCTCCCTGGAGCACAGGACTCCAGGGAGCTACGCTGCCCTTCTGTGGGGTGAAAATTAGTTCTCGGCTCTGGCCAAAGATGACGCAGGCACGGAGTTCCTGTCCCACGCCCAACTCCTTTGTCTGAGGGGACGCAGCGTTTCCCACCCGCTGCCCCGTCATCCTCTGCAGTGCAAGGAGCCTCGGTGAGGACGCAGCAGTGCAGGGACTTTCGGGTGGCCTCGTCCACCCTGAACCAAGGCCAAGGACTGGGCGGGGGGCCAGCCTCGGCTGCAGGAGCCCCGGGGCCCATGGAGATGGTACGGGGAGCTGACCCGCGGCTCCTCCCTGCAGTGTCCCTCCCTCACCGCACGCTCCCCAGCAGGCACACAAGGCCTTCCCAAGGCTCGAGCCAGACTCCAACATCGCTGGGGCAGCAGCACCTGTGCCACCTTCCTCGGAGCAAGCGCGGGTCGCCAGGCTCAGCACACACCATGCAGTTGGGACGAGAGCACAGCAGAGCCTGCTCCGCTCCGGAGGGCCCCACGGAGCTGCCTCGGGGCTGCAAGTCAGCAGGAGCCCTCAAAGGGCAGCACGAGTTTCCAGGAAGATGGGCAAACGGGAACAAGGGAGGGAAGAGGACATCTGGGGACAGGTGCAGCTCCACGGGGCCAGTGGGCCGCACAGGGCAGTCAGGTGGGTGATGCGAGGGCTGCGGACCTGCGACACCATCTATCTGGGACAGCAGGCTGACTGCAAGAGGGAGCAGGCCGGAAAGAGGAGGCAGAGTCCGGGAGAGACAGGACGAAGACGCTGGGCGCGGGGGCGCACAGTTACAACCCCAGCACCCAGGAGGCTGAGGCGGGAAGACTGCAAGTTCAAGGTCAGCCTGGGCTGCACAGCAAGACTACCAACCAAACAAAAGAGGATCGAGGGTGGAGCCTATAACAAATGTATGGCTAAACCCACATTTCACACACACACACACACACACACACACACACACACACACTGGCAAAGTCTGGATGCCATATAAATCACACGCGCAGGCACTAGAACTCCGAACCCTAAAGGAAACCTAAAATAAGGTCCATTCCCATAATCAGTTCTTGGTCACAGAGAGTTCTCGAATGATGTAAAAGAAGAATCTCAGTTCTTCTTAAAGCAGATTTATTACAACAATGAATTAATCTTAAGGCTGCAGTGGTAGTACTGTGGTCTAGCACAGTTTCTGTGCTTTTTCAAGTACCAAATGAACATAGGGATGCAAACTAACCAGCAGTGCAGACTCTGGCTTTGAAAATGCATCTGAGATTTCAAGTTCCAAGACTCCTCTGAGGCCCTGAAGGTGCAGTCCGAGGCACAGCTGCTGGTTCATAGTCCACGAAATTTCACCAAAAGCAGCTTCCAAGTTAGCTCCTTCCATCCGGCCCACGTGTGACCGCAGTCAGTGTCCAGGTTAACACACAAAGGTTACAGGGGACAACGCTATCTGAAGGAGCCACATGGGATGAGCCACCAGCCAGTGACCGCTCCCGCGCTCCTGGCAGATGACTCTAGATGCCGACTGATCGCTGGCCACAGCGGCAGCCCGGAAGTCACTCTCACAGAGCTCCGGACAGCAGCAGCCAAGGCGGAAGTCACCACACTCCGGCACCACTCAGACCAGGCATGGGGTTTAGGAGGGGAGGCGGGGAGTCTGTGGCAGGTAGGAGGAAGGGAAGCACTCTCTTCCCCTCTCTGTAGCCAACTGGTTCTATCTCTCAGGATCTTGTTTCTCTAGCTACAAAATGCAGTTCGTGTTACTTAATTACTTCAAGGAACTGGGATGGATTTTACCTGTTAATTTTTAAAAACCTGAAGGAGGCAGAGGGTGACTTGGGTCCTTCCTTTATGTTGAGTGAGAGGTGGGATCCGTGTGAGATGGGACACTATGTTTCGTACGGCTTTGTGAAGTGACAATAAAATGCAGCCACTCTGTGAGGTTAACTTTTTCCTGCTTCCCAGAATCTACCAGATTTAACAGAGGATGACAGTAAGGTAAAACAAAGGGAATAAGGACGCTGCCTGAGATCTGTTGTTCACTGTATTTCTACTCAAAGCTTTTTTCCTTTACCTGATCCTAACGATGTCCCACTACTATCGTTAAAAAATTTTGCTGTAGAAGATGAAAATCTCCTGCTGACCCCGTCTCTGATCCTGCAGGGCAATACTATTTGGATTTGGTGAACTCTGTGTGAGGGAACCTTTTATGGAATGCACTCTAGTGAGTCCTGTGCATTTACATTTGCTAAAAAAAAAGCCTTCCAGGCCAGCTGCACAGCACACTGTTCTGATGTTCTTTTCTGACCAGGTGCAATCTATATACCTAGCAAGAAGGTAACACTACCAAGTCCATTCCAACTTACCTAGCCTCAGGCATTAACCAGAACAGGACACCCTTGCCAGTTTCAGCATTGAATCGCATAAGAAAATATATTGAGCCCAGCAGTGCTGTTTGTGAATAAGATGTTTTTGATGAAAGTTTCCAAGTGGAGAATATGGTTCCAGGTGGTCCGAGGCATAGCTTTCCTGGGGTGACCCTGCAACCTGTGACCTTGGTTCGGGCACCAAGGCAGGGAGCAGCTCGTGCCTGCCTTGCTGTCCCTGAGAAGAAAGTCGTATGACCACAGGTGGCTGGTGCTGTCACGCCATGTGTGAATGGTGGCTACAGCCGTAGGCAGGCAGGTCCTGATTTTCCAGTGTACATAAGGGCCGTGATGCGAGGGGAGTTGGTTATGGAAAGCTGATGTGCAAAGTACAAGGTGACGAGCGCACTAATCCAGGCCTCACTGGACACTGGACGCTCCACCAAGAACGGAAAGGAAGCGCATGGCACTCTGGAACCGTGAGCACCACCGATGGCAGGGACCTCCCTGCATGGACGGTGAGTCAGCTTTTACTTCGACCATTCAAAAGCCGATCCTGCAGCTGAGGGCAAGTGGTTCTGAGAGTCACAGTACTGGGTGACAGCAGCCGAAGGGAGAGGCAGCCCTCTGGGCCCTGGGGAGATGGAGGGCGGAGCTGTTCTGAGCCAACACCCTGGATTCCCCTTCTTCTCTGCTCCCTGACACAGGGATGGACATGAACCGAAGCCCCTTGAAGTGGCGGGGAGCCCTTCGGTGACATCTTCCCTTTACCCTTTGACCTCAAACACGCTGATGGTGCTGGGTCTGACAGAGGACCATGAGACACTGCAGTCTATTTTAGGGCTCAGGAGTTACTGTTTTGCAGAAAAATCAGTTTGTGGCATTAGCTGTGTGCCCCAACCACTTCTTCCCAAGACTGCCACTGTGTGGAGATGTAATTAAGTCACAAGAACTCGGGCTTTTTCTCGCTCTCTGTAGCTGAGCTGTTTGACTGGAGCTCCCTGTATCTGTGGATAGGACAGAGATAAAGGGCCACAGGAAAAGCTTGTTTAATTTCATTTTTCGTTAGAATATCTTGACTGTCAGAAGCTGGCATCCCATGGCTGAAATAAGACCCTCACACCTGGCCTGGAAAAGACCAAGTCATGAGGCTGGACAGGAAGGAAGTCAGCCCGCTCTGCCCTCCTGCAGTGCCACTGCCTCGTCACCGCGCAGCCGCCCGAGCAGGAGCAGGCGCAGGCGCAGGCGCAGGCAGGAAGGCGTCAGGTGTCCAGGGAGCAGGCCAGTGAGGGCAGCAGACGCCGGAGCTCTGTTAAGAGAAGTCAGGCAGGGCAGAGACACCTGCCAATGCCGTTTCCCACGTGCAGGCCGGGGCTGCGAGGGGGTAGCTGGGCTCTGGGCCATGTGCCAGGCCCTGGCCTGGGCTGCTGAGCACTGTCTCCCTCACTCTCCAGACCAACAGAGCTGGCACTGTTCCGGCAAGCGTGGACTTGAGCTCTGCAGGGGGACTGCAGTCTCTCCGGCTGGGCCTTTCTGCGTCACTTCTCAGGCACAGTTAGCGCTTTCTCCTTTGAGCCATGAAAGAAGCCATACAAACGGCGGACCACTGTCTATGCCCTGCCTGTCTGAACGGCGAGGAGTGGGCTCTCCACGTCATGACCTGGCAGAGCGACAGCAGCGCCCGTGCTGGCAGTGCACAGTCCGGACACGGCAGTACACCCTGTCACCCGGGCTCTTGTGTGCCCCTCTCTCCGGCTTCTCTCCGACCCGCTCTTGGCTTTTCTCTGCCCTCATCCACAGAAGGAGCCCCAGGAGAGGAGGGACAGACGTATGCACCGCTGGTTCCAGTTCAGCTGAAACCCGGCTGCTCGCCTGCCATCTGGCACTGTGACATTTAAAGGGGGCTGGTGTACAATCAGCGTAACTGCAGGATCTGGACACGCTCTTTTGGCTCCTTGCTTGCTGTTACCAGGAAAGTAGTCTGCATGTCTCCCAGGCCCCATTAGGTCGGCTGCACCGCACTCCTGCCCAGGCTCTGAGCCATCCGTGGCCTTCAAAGGGGGTGGCTGGGAGAAGTCACCCTCTACAAGGGGCCAAGGGAGCCCCGGGCGAGAGCACCAACCTGGACCCAGGCCCAGGCCCCGGATACCCAAGGCGGTGAAGGATGGGCACCAGCTCGGGCATCTGACTCCTCCACACTTGTGAGGCCCCGGCCTGCTCCAGGTGTACTCGAAATCTGCCTGCAGTGAGCCGAGAGGCTTCATTTAAGGCCAGGGCTTCAGTACAAACTGTGAATGAAAACGTCAGCTCCTTGGCCAGTGTCTCTGACTGTAATTGTTGAATCACTCACAGTTCTCACAGAAATGGGTTGTGGACAGCCATCCTGGGGCAAGTTTAAGTGGCTTGCACTGATGCTTTAGAAATGGTTTTCCACAGCATACATTAAAAGAAAAGCAGGCCCATTAGGCCAAGAAGAAAAATAAAAGCAACCTGAATTTATTCTTTCATCAAAACAATATCCATCGCTCATGAGGCAGAGAGAGGAGCTTGGAGCTGTGTTTCCCGACATCTGCCCGCTGATCTTCCCTCATGCCTGTGACTGAAAGCAGACTTGCCACTTAAAAATACACCTGCCAGTATTTCCAGCACAATTTAAACAGAGGATTCCAAAAATCTCCCCATACGAACAGTATTTCAAGCATCTTGAATGAAGAGAATTGGAGAGAATCTTGAGATCCATTTATTTTCCAAATAATGAATAAGAAATTTTTTTCCATCTGGTTTGGGGTAAAGGTGAAGCACTGCAGTCACAGCTTCAATAATGGGGCTACTTGGAAGATAACAACCGCCTGTAGATTGCCCCTGAGGATGGCAACAAGAAAACCAATCCAACAGCCCAAGAAACTTAGTCGGAGCCATATTTTGAGAATAGGAAACTACACAGGTTTTTGAAGGGAAAGAGGAGAGAAGATGACATGTTGTGAACTGAATTTCATAGGCGGATGGCACTGTGACGGGCCTGGAAGTTGACTTTTCCTCTCTCCTGCTTTCTTATGAGGCCTGGTCCATGTCACTGTAACTCGACTGTAAATGGCATCACCGAGGATGTGTAAACATCCAGGAAATCCATCTGAGCACAGAATGAAAATCACCCTTCAGTTCCACAGAGGGGGCCTCCAGGAGCCCCCCAGGAAGACCAAGACAGTGCCCCAGTCCCTGGCACAGGGTAAAGCAGCGGTACACGCGCCCGTGTGCTTCGATCACCTCTGGGTGACTGAGGATGTCAAGGCCAGCACGATGCAAATAGTCGGCATCCAGCACTGCTCGGGACACCGTGACCCGGAACACGTGCTTCTGCAGACACAGTTTCCCCCCAAATATTTTCCATCTGCCATTGGTTGAATCTGCAGATGCAGAAGCCATGGGTACAGAGGGCCCACAGTACTCAATATCTGGTACTGAATTTTAATACCTGCACTTTCACTTGGACTTCTGTATGGGCTATGACATATGCTTTATGTCCTCAGAAGCATTATTAGTGTGGAATGATTATTTGCCATTCAGTGGTACCAAAGATTTCTTAAACCCAAATATTTCTTGTTTTTTGCATTCTGTTCTTAGCAGAAAGAGGCAGTTAACCAAGTGTGCTGTTCTTAGGTATTTCTTTAGAATCCATATTACTTAGCCTGTCAGACGCTGTACGTTTAGCCTGATCCAGTCACATCCCTGAGATCCTGTAGCATTGGAAACCAACAGAAAAATACTATTTACTATATTAGAAAAGAGATTTCCTATTTTAGGGTTCAATAATAATTAAAAACAAAACTTTAAAAAGCGTGGCTTCCTACACATGCTGTATTCATAACTGTTTCCTAAATATAATTTGCAAATATTACAGGCAAATGGTAATTTCAAAGGCAAAGGATTAATGCTTAGTGTATAAAAGGGTACAAAGGTAGGGGCTCTGCCACTGACCATGTTCATTTGATTCATGATTCACTCCTTCGGCAAATCTAACTTGTGTATGATCAGAATCATTCTGCTCCAGGACGCATCTAGTCTGGTGGTCACCGACAAATTATCTTTGACCTCAATAAAGCAAAGAGTGAATCTTTTTAATATAAAATCATTTATTTTATTGTGGCAAAATATACACAACATAGACTTTGTGCCCTTCACCATTTCAAAGGGCTCCTATGGGGGTGTTGAACATGCACCTCGCTGTGCACACAGCTGTGCCCGGGCTGCCATCAGCTAGAGGGGCCCTGCCGCCCGAGCCTGGCGCCTTGCTGTCATCTTCACATCCACGGGTGACCAGCTACTCGATTTCATCAGCTGACTATTTTCTCCCAAGGAGAAAGGAGCTACAAAACCCGTTAGGATGGTGCTCTGGGCCCTCACATCTCTACACAGACTGCATACATAGGGCACCCAGGGCCTCGTGCACGCCAGGCAAGTGCTCTGCAGTGAGCTCAAGGTCCAGCTAGCCTCTGCAACATCTGCCCTACCAGGCAGTCCTTTACTACCTCAGGACATCTGGGATAGGTAACCATCCAGCCCAGGCATGCCACTGGCAAGGAAGAGCTACTCCTGCACATGTCAGCCCTGAAGGCCCTGTAACTGCTGATCTAATACACAGCCTGAGATTGCAATTCTTAGAACCTCAGCTATCTTAACATATGTACGTATGTACCTTCTTACCGTATATGCTCCTCACTGTGCAGTCCAGGTTGGTCCTGAACTATGTGGCCAGGCTGCCCTTGAACTTGCAATGATCCTCCTGCCTCAGCCTCCCAAGCGCTGGGATGACAGGTGTGCACCAAGCCCGGCTAGATGTACAGTTTGAAGCACCTGAAGTCTCCAGAATCCCTTGTTCTGAGGCACGTTTCTTCTTTACGCATACAGTACAGGTGAATTTAATACAGTATGGGCCCAAGCCTCAGGGCACTCCTACAGCACAGCAACCCAGGCCTCCTGCAGACCGGGCCTGTGCTTTGACCCCTTCGGCCTGGTGTGGGGTACTGACACAGGGGTGACTAGGAAAATGCCAGTTTTATGTCATGCCCCATCCAGTGTGCCCGGTGCCTGCTGCCCACCAGTGCAACTGGGCCTGGGCTTTGTCCCGGTGAGACACAGGGCTCACCAGTCCCTGAATTCATTCTCTTCCTCTGATCCCAGCAAAGCGCGTGACTTGTTTCCGTTTTTGCCAGCGTAGCTATTTTAAGACTCTTCCTTTTCTATCCAAGGACATCATTTGTCATTTATTTAATACACTGGCTTCTGCACTATGTATGAGTCAACAAACTCTGTCTGGGAAGCAGAGTTAGCCCAGCATCGGCAGGGCCCGACCTGGTGCTGAGTGAGGCGCCACCTGGGCACAGGGACCTCAGCTCCTGGGAGCAGGCAGCAGGGCCCAGCAGGGAAGCCTAATCCCGGGGCACTGCAGGAGGGAGTGTCTCATGAAGTTCGGGAGCCCACCCGGCCAGAGAGTGGCAGGAAGAGGTGCTGGGAGCACGGATCACCTTAGAGAAGGTCACGTCTGCCTCTGGGGAGAAATCTTGCACAGAGTCCCCTGCGAAGGCCGACCATCCCCCCAAAGCCCAGACCTGCTCTTCGGAGTCCCCGGCGCGGCGTGGGCAGAGGTTTGGAGTCGTGCCGGCTCGTGCCCACCCCGAGGGCCAGACCTGTGCCTCCCTGTGCTGCTGCGGCCCCGCTGTGCCAGGTCCCGAGGGAGCTGGGGCTGCTGTGAAGGTGCCACCCTGATTCCTCATCCCAGTGCGGCATCAGCCCGCACAGAGCCTTGCTGGTTCCCGCGGTGAGCAGGCTCCCATGCGTGAGGCGCCCCCTCCTCCCTGGGCCCCTGGGGCACCAGCGCCCACGGCACTGCATGTCCCACACGGCCTCCTCCAGCCTCTCCCTGATCCTAGCTGCAGGCGCCACTTTCCTGGGCCCATTCAAGTGGCGGGAGAAGACGCAGGATCACATCACGGCCTGCCTGTGGGGGTCAGGCTGGACTGACGGCCACCGGACCCTGAGACCCTGCACACCCGAGACTGCACACTCGCTCACCTTCACCTGAGGTCTGAACTGGACTCTGGGCCCTGGAAACGGACCAGTCCCTTCCCAGGGCCTCTGCCTCCGGCCCTGCCTTTCCTAGAGGCAGGACTTTATTAGGGCTCAAAATTTCATTCATTTTTCTTTTTAACTGAGAGACTTTAGTGTTTCAAACAGTTTTAGGTTTCCAGGAAGACAGAGCAGACAGCACTGCATCCCCGTCCACCCCGGACAGTTCATCCTGAGCTCCACACTGACAGAGCCTCGTGATTGTAGTCGGGCACCCTTGCTGCACGCTGCGATATCTTAGGCTTCTCCTTAGAAATCACTATGTATTCACCACAACTTGCGAGCGCAGAGGCAGGGAAAGAAAAGTTCGGAAGCTCTTGCAAAATGTTGGGAAAATCACTGAAACACAAGACTAGACATACATATGTATCTCCCGTGCTGGGGCAAATGGATTTCCGTGCATTTCATTGCTAAGCATGTCCAGCCTGTCCCTGCCACCGACCTGGTTCTCAGCCCAGTGCAGCATCAGGCGAGGGCTGGCCTCGTGGGTCCATCTGGGCCAGGTCCCACGCCTGGCCCGATGCCCCTGTAACCAGCACTGCAGTGACTCCTTCATCCTTATGCTGCTCTCTGGCTGATTTTGAAGCTGCGGCTCTGCCAGAGGCTCCGGGCAGCTGCTGCTCCTGGCCCCATGTGCTTGGGCTGGGAGGGTGGGCTGCCCAGGCCTGGGTCACAGGTGATGTTGTCCTTCCACTGTGGGTCCCGAGTTACCAAATGGCTCCAGGATAAGACTGCTTTCTATTTTTACCTAGACCTCAAAATGACTGAGGATTGAATAAATCACTCTGAAAAGAAAGGGCACTTCGAGGGTGGTATTTACAGTCTCCAGTTCTTCCTAAAGGTCTCACACAACGGAAGCCTCACCATCTGAAAATGCCCTTTGCAAAGAGAACTATTTTATTTTCCCGTCTGCCTCTCACCTTTAAGGATATCTAATTTGTCTACACATTTAGAAACAGCACGCGGTTTCCTACTTGATACCTAGGAAAGCGGTCTCCTTCCATGTTCGCTCTGGGCCCATTGCTCCTCTTCCGGGCTCCAGGGCTCCCGCTTCAGCCCCACAGGTGCAGAAAGGTCCAGCTCTGGGTCTTTCCATGGGTGGGGCATGGAACCCAGCCATGAATTTGTAAGACAAAGGGCTGACGTGTTTTGAACCCCGTGCAGCACTTCTGTGTTTGTCACCTGACCACATCTGGGACAAGCATCAGTCTGTCCTATGACTGGGGCAAAACACCCAAGACCCACAGCTTCACGGAGAGGGGTTTGTGGCTCACGGTTTCAGTCGTGGGAGGCTGGCTCCAGGGCAGCAGCAGCAGCATGGCGGGAGTGTGACCGAGGACAGCTGCTCACCCACAGCAGCCAGGAAGCAGAGAGAGGGGAGGAGCCAGGACAGGGACCCTTCCAGGTCACACCCCAGGGACTAGCTCCAGCCAGGCCCACCCGGACAGCACACCTTCAGGCCTGAGCTCACCACTAGTGAGCACAGTGCCCCGTGGCACACAGCACACCCCGAGACTTGGGGGACATTTGAGATCTAAACCATAACAGGACCTATCTCTGCTGGGGGGTGTGGACTGGGAAGGGGGCTCTGCAGAAACAAGAAGGGTTTTAAATCCAGGTCCCTGAGCCCCACCTTAGATTTGGGGAACCACAGTCTTCAGTGTGTACAGCCCCAGCACATGCATGAGGAGTTTTTATTCAAAGAGCACAAGCTCATTTCAGATCTGTCAGAGGATGTGAACTTCCTGATTGTATTTTCCCCTAAAATGGGAGCCACGAAGAGTAGCGATTCAGATACACACTGAATGCGACAGCTCTTCATAAGGAATGACAATTCCGGCTGGCCGGCTGCTGTCCATTTCTCATCACCCAGTGGGGAGTCCAGGCCGGGCCAGCTGTGAGGGAGGTTTATTTGCGGACATGTTTCCAGCGTCTCCATTTAGTCCCAGGCCCAGAAACCATCCAGGACCCCAAGGAAGCTCTGCTGTGGGAACCTGGGAGGAGCCCAGAGTTGGGGCTACCTTGCCCCTGAGCAGACAGTGCAGTGAGGCCCTGGGTGATATCCCAGCCCCACGAAGAAACCCAGTCCCTTCAGGTCGGCAGGCACGTCCCGTCCGAGGCATCTGGTGCCTCTCCTGTGTCGCTGCCCCTCAGATGGCTCTGCCCCCAGGACGCCCAGCAGTGTCTACACCCGTTATGGGCTCTTGAGGGTGAGGGCCATGAATGTCTAAATTCCCTCTTCTCCTTCAGTAACAGGCGGTGGGACTTTGTCAGCGTCTGCTTTGTCACTGAGACAATTTGAGGAAACAGTCCTGAACCAGGGCTTAGCGAAGGACGCAAGGGATCTGAGAGGATGTTCGGTCACAGCCACAGTCAGCACACCGCTGACAACAGTGACATGGAGCAGCCCCGCCTCCTGGCTCTCTGCTCCACTATTTCACAACTCAAGGGATGCTGATGAAAGTGAGCCTCAACACAAACTCTTCGCTTTTTAGACAGATGATGGGCACCTGACATCCTGGGTCGGGGAAGCTTTCTAACAGGAGGCAAGATCCCACTTGACACAGAGACAGAGGAGCACACACCAGCCAGGAAGCCGCCAGCCTCAGCCTACAGACGTCCCAGAAAGGCAATCACTAGAGCAACCTGACTTAGCAAAACTCTCCCAGACAGCACTATACAGATCCTCTTTTTCTCTTACATCCTCCCTAGAAATGTCTTAAATGCCTATGGCCTCCCACACAATTTTAAATTGACATCTAAAATTTCCATCATCAGTTTCAAAATGCATTTTCTCACATATGGTAAAAATCGACACAAAAATAAACTATGATGTCATTCTTTTAAAGATGTTCAAGAGATTTTAAATACTATAATGATGTAATATCCAATACTACCCATCTAAAAATGCGTGACTATGCTCTTAATAGTAAATATTTTTCCTTGAAATTATATCATACATATTTTTCCATTTCTCCCAAAGAATTTTATTAAAAAAATATATTTTTTGCTTGAAAAGCTTTACAGAGCACTTCCTCACATTTTTCAGTAATAACACAAATTGAAAATTTAAAACTTTTAAAATTTTCTGTGACGTGTCTCTAATTAAAATTTTCTTCTGGAGCGATTGATCACTACGAGTCTTATGGTGCACAGATGAGAAAAACTGTCAAACTACGACGCACAGTTTGAGAAGCACTGAACACACTTTGGATCTGCCTCTGAACACATCTGTGGAGGAAGGGAGCTGGCTTTGTAGGCAGAAGGCAGTGGCACCTTTATGGGAAGCAGGCAGCCCGGCTCCCGGAAGGGCTCTCTCACCTGGAGGCCGGGTGGGCCACTGTGGGGAGGGCTGTGCCTTTCTTCTGCGGGGGGAGCAGGGCCCCTGTGCAAGGGGAGGTGGCTGTGGACAGCCCGGTGGAAGCAGAGGACTCCGGGAGCCCCGAGCATGGGGCATCTGCGCCTGCAGGCCCGAGCGCCTTCCAGGCCCAGGAGCTCCAAAGTCTGAGGGCCCAGCTCCTGCACGCTGTGCTCTGTCCTGTCCCCTGCACCCTCTCTCCGCCCTTCCCGAGTCACTCCGCCTGTCCCAGCCCCCAGCCCTGCTCCAGCCTCGGTGTCCTCATCTTCCTGGGGAGGGCACAGATCCCCGGCTCCTGTCCCTGCCCCGTCCCTACGCTGTACCTGTGGCCTCACAGTTGACGTATAAAATGCACTAGGTGTCAAAGTTACTCTGAAGACTTCCCTGGATGTTTACTTTATCTGTTCTAAAAAAAGTGCAAATGTTTATGGAAAAAAGGAGCAGGGAGAGCGTGCAGAGGACGTGTGTGTCTGCAAACAGCTGAAGACAGATATGGGAGCCGCTCTGCTTACAGAAGACTTCACCCCTGTTCGCACACATCCACGGTTTATGTGCAGAAAAGCACACGGCTAATGCACAGCCCCCTTCCCAGAGAAGTCCAGTTGACTTAAAAGAACAATACATGCACATGGTCAGAAAATTAAGATCCCACATGGAAACAGAAGTCTTAACCCTTCTGTCCAGAGCTGCTGCCTGAGCCCTCCCAAGAAAAACAGACGCACCTGCTGGCAGCCGTCATTCCTCCTTGCTTCCCTCCTTCTGTATTCTATAATTTCACTCAGAGGAGAGAGCACCTTGTTCTTAATAAAACAGTCAGCGTGTGTGTGCATTCCACACACACAAACACACCAGCACAGGTTTTTTTTTAAAATAGGGTCATAAACAAGGATCTGAGTTTGATCCCTGGTACCAAAAAAAAATAGGGTCATAAAAATTTAATATATGGATATGCTGTAACTTATTTAACCAGTCTCTTAGGAATTTAGTTGTCTCGAGAGTTTTCATGTGGATGGAGATGTTTCGAGGACTGTAGTGTGGTACACTAAGGATGCGAGTCTATCTGTGCAACAGTCATTTATATTTTCATTCACTTGCATTCTAGAAAGACTGAACCAATCCACACTGCTGCCAGTGGGGTATGAAAGAACACCCAGCCCCATATTTCATGACGGAAGGACATCAGCAACATTTTCCGACAGACTGGATGAGATACAGCTGACTTGGAAGGGTGTGTTCCTGAGCCCCTGCCTCCGGCCCCTCCTCTCTCTGCTTCCTGACGCTCTCCTCCTCCAGGCCCCTATGCCACATGTTTTTGCCTTGGAGCCAGTGGCCATGGTCTGGACCCACAGGAACTGGGAGTCAAATAAACCTCTCCTTGAAGCTGTGGGTGTCGGGTGTTGTGTCCCAGTGACAGGATGATGTCAAGCAATGGAAACAGTGGGATTTCACAGGGGGTTCTAGCTTACATTTCTTTAACTGAGTGGGGCTGAGCAGCTCTTCATTTGTTACCCTTTAATTAGCAAACTCATTTTTTAAGGGTTTGTAGAAATTTTTTGAATTAAATATATTAACCCTTGTCAGACATACAAATATCTTCGCAATTTGCCCAATTTATCTTTTGAGTTTGCTTTATCATGTAGAAGTTTTACATTTTCATGTATTTTACTTTGTCAATATTTTCCTTTAAGATCTTGGGGGATTTTGTCTTAACTGGGAAGGCACTTCACCCTGAAAGATGTGTCCAGACTTTTTAAATAGTTTTTTTTTAAGGATTTAAATTTTTAAGTTGATCCTTCAACCATTTGAGTTTGGAGTTGGTAGAAAACAGTGCATAAGTAATATAAGAAAGTGTCATGATTTCTAAAACACTTGTTTGTCATCAAACCATCTTTTCCCCACTGACATAAAATGTCACTGTTACCATCAACTAAACCCCATTTCTATGTGGGTCCATTTAGAGACTTTGCTCTATTCCACTGATCTGTCCATTTCTTCTTTAATTCAAAATGTATTAAATTATTATAATTATTATATCATTTAGAATACATTTTGATATCAAGCAGAGCTAGTGATCCTATTTTCTTCTTTTTGAGACGTTTCCTAGCTATTCTCAAGTGCTTATTTCTATTTGAATTGGCATTGCGTTTTCACAAGACTACATTTTTTGATCCCCGGGGAGTTAAAAAAATATTCTCATGCAGATTATTCATATTCAATAAGCTACCACCTAAAGGTTTTCTATTGGGTTTTTTCTGTAAATAGGATTTTATTCTTCAATAATAACCGGTCATTATTTCTTATGAAAGGAAGCAACTTATTTAAACTTTGTAACATGCCTTCTTGCCACATTTTCCTACTGTCTTTAATAGCTGACCTTACCTTGTGACTGTTAGATATGTGACCCTCATACCCCAGTGATGGTGCACCAGCTCCTCCCAGTTACGTGGGGTTCTTAGCCCTGCTCTCACCCACCGCTTTGGTGGGCTTCTTGGGAGCAAAACTGAGCACCAGTGGTGGTCTGGGCTGTGGACGCTTCCACTTCGAGTGCTCAGTGCAGAGCCCGATGGCAGCTCTGGTGTAGGGCACAGGCCCGCTGGCTCATGTGCTACAAGTGGCCTTACCCTCCCTGTGGGACACACGGGTGGCTGTGCTCCTCCTCTCGCCAACTATGTGACAAACACGAGCACAGCTCGGGCTAGGGGCTAGGTTCTCCCCTTTCCTGTCCTCTTGTCACAAGTCCTCTTCCGGGGTGACCCCGCCCAATGTGGGGCACAGGCTGCTCACCTCTATCAGAAGGTCAGCCTGGGGTCCTCCTACTGCTTTCCCCTCCCAGCTCCCCAAGCGTAAGGAGAACGATTCTTGGGCAAAGTGGTTTGGAGGCTGAGGAGACTGCAGTCCAGGGGGTTCTAGACCTTGGAAACACTGCTTTCCTACTTTTCTCCTTACTTGAATTCCTAGGTCTCCCTGGAGACAAACCACTCTGGGCATCTAGGACTCTCCCTCTCCCTACTTGTGCTCTCCAGGGCGGGGGAAAATCACCAAACAGGGAGCTCCAGGGTGCCTGTTTCTTGGTAGCTCTGTCTCTCTGTCTCTCTGTCTGTCTCTCTCTCTCTCTCTCTGTCTCTGTCTCTCTCTCTCTCTCTCTCTCTCTCTCTCTCAGCTGGCGTAATGTGGAACTCATTGAGAAACAGTTTCTCCTTTCATGGCAATTTCTGCTTCTGCCCACTTGTTTTCATTCCTCCTGGTGCTCTGCAAGATATCATTAAGGATTCTATTACGCAGTCTCCTCCCCGATGTTTCTGCAGGGCGGAATCAGAAATTGGAGGCAGCTGCCTCAGTGATCCTTAGAAATCTGTCTTGTTCTTTTACTGAAGCCTCGCTCTATTCTTTATTACCCTTGCTTGAATATTTTTGTCTGCTTAGTTTTAGTTCTTTCAACCTGTTTTGGGTTAGGTTTTGGCATCCTAGGTGGATCTTCCATATTTATTTAGACTGGTAATAAGCACAATGTTGAGGTAAATGTCAACGGCGACCCCTCGGAGTTGTTTCTGTTATTTCCCGGAGAAACACTGGACGTTCAATTCTCTTACCTGCTGCTTCAGCGCCTCCAAAGACTCAAACTCCAGCCTGGCCAGCTTCATCTGGATGTGGCGTGGTTTATCGGGGATGGCGAAGGCGAGGATGAACTTGAGAGCCAGGAGCACGTGCTGAAAAAGAAAGCGCATGGGCTGACGCGCACTCCCACACTGCCACCTGAGTCCCGCCTTGTCGCTAATGCTGCCCTAGGGACTGCCTCACTGTTGGTCCCTGGAGTCCTACAGACCGAGCAGGCCCATGAGTTATGTGTAGCCCATCACGCTGCGGTCCATTCAGTAATTGTTGACTATTCTTCGGAAAAGCCAGTTATCACCCTAATTAGAACCAGAAGCCACTCACAGTGTGTCGTAGAAAATTAAGTTCATCCCAAAGTACTGCACACTTCCGACCTGCGCCTCAGCTCACAGCGCATGCACGGCCGGCCGCTCCGCCTCTGCCCAGGGTCTGCGCATGCGCACAGCAGGGCTGCTACGGTGAGTGCTCACGCAACTCTCTGACCGGGAGCACCCAGGTCCTGCACGCCCCCAGCTGGTTGGGCGCAGTTTCTTCCTCGACCAAGCGCTCAGTAAATAGCGATTAACTCATTTGCTAGAACTGGCTGTCCTCTGATCCTACGGACTCATATACAGCAGGGCAGGTGCACAGAAAGAGTGCTTGTTCAAACACGGAAATTTAAACCTGGCTGGGAGGCCCCTCTTCTCCACCAGCATCACAGTGCAGAGGTTTTCTATCACATAATGATCGAGGTCTATCGTTATATCAGCAGCACTGCTTGCATCTTAGCCCTGCCCCGCAATGGCCAGCCCCGGCCTGTGGGTGCCTCTCAAACCTGGCACCATCTTGGGATCCAGGGTCAACATCCACAGACATCTGAACAATGGAGAATAAAGCCTGCGCCGTGAGAGCAGGAATCCACGCAGGCAAAGCTGCGAGGTTTGTCTGTGGTACTGGGGATTGAACCCAGAGGCGCTCTACCACTGAACTAACTACTGCCCCAGCCCATTCATTTGTTATTTGGAGGCAGAGTCTCACGGAGGACTTGCCCAGGCAGGACTTCAGCTTGCGAGCTTCCTGCCTCAGCCTCCGGGAGTGCTGGGATTACAAGTGTGTGCAGCACCACGCCCGGTAAAGCTCTAAACTTTTATAGGTAAGAATAAAAAACATTAACAAAAATGACGCAAGAGACAGAGCAGCCTGCAAGAAATGTCACATTGACAGAAAAAGAAGACAGCCGAAAAAATTAAATCAATTCCTTATTGCAATATTTTCAAAAGAAGGGAGAAAAGACAGCAGAGAGAGGCAGGAGATGGTGAAGTCAGCAACACGCCAGGACAAGCAAAAGTTCAACAGAAGATGGGGCCACAAGGCCTGGTGTTTATGGGAGGCCTGGAGTGGACCAGGACCAGCAGGCTTCAGTCAGCGTGAGGGCAGGGCCAAGGGTAACCCTGGAAGATGCAGCCTCAGGCTGCAGGAGGAACACAAGCAGATAACACAACATGGGCCAGGTGTGGTTGTGCATGCCTGTGGCCTGTGATCCCAGCAATTGGGAGGCTGAGACAGCAGGATCACTGCAAGTTCAAGGCCAGCCTGGGCCACATAGTGAGTTCAAGGCCAGCCTGAACTGCATAGTGAGACCCTGTCTCAGAACAGACAAATGAAAAAGATACACGTCTTCAGTCAGATGCTGTCATCTGTGAACTAAATGAACTGAATGAACAAGAACCTGGCTATAAATTATAAAGAATAAATTCAAAATTAAGAAAACATGAAACTATGCCATTGTTTTATTCTATTAGAGTACTGAGACGTAGTTTTACAAAACAGAATCTCTTCAGTGGCTACAGCAGACAAGAAATAAATTTAATGGATGAAAAGAAATCTAATTTTTCAGATACTAGGTGGCCCCAGCTTGCCAGAGGCCCAGCAAGACCAATTGCTGCTCTTTTTCCCCCTAACAAACTGGTGCCACTTCCTCCTCCTCAGAGGCTTGGTGGGAATTAGTTTAAAACACAAAACCAAGCAAAGCCATCCTGTGGAGGACAGAGCTGCTTCCTGTGTATGTCAAATCCTTCTAGGAATGGGCCTAGCAATGAGGGGTTGAACAAGGCCGCCACAGACCTTGGGACAGGGTTTCTGTGTGAACTGCTCATAAGGCTCTCAGGAACTGAGAAGACTTGGTATTGGTTTGGCAATAGTAATCCAAATAGGGGACCACATTAATATGTTTAAATGGATACAGTAATGTTCTCTTATAAGTGATTCTCCATAGTTTACTTTCCTAAAATATGACACCTTTACAGTGGTGTTCTTTGGATGGTGGCCCTAGAGGTGGCCCCTTTATCTTTAGACTTTAATGGTCACACATTACTTTTATACAACAGGGGCGGGGTATGTGGAAAGGAACACAGGGTTCTTCGCAGAACATATGAATTACACGTCTCTGCTGGTCTCTAACACTGATCACAACTGCCTTTGTGCCCTGCAAACAGACCACGAGCAGGCACTGTGCAGCTCAGAGAATCCGGCTACTTGCTGGGAGGCCAGGAATACACACAGCTGCGGGAAAAGGCCACTCTGCATGCAGCAAGGCATAGCACTGATCCACCAGACTGCTTAGAGGGTGCCTAACCCTAACCTTAACCTGCCCTAACCCTACATCGCTAACCCTGTAACCCTAACCCACCTCTTCCCAAACTTGCCTCATTTGTCATATTCAACTTTTTGTCCCAGAAACCCTACCGATTCTAGGTGCAGTTTCTGGGACAATTATACATATTTGCTTTAACACATATCACTTTAAAAAGTGAAAACAGGGCTGGGGATTTAACTCAGTGGTTCCGGCGCCTGCTGCACAACTGCAAGGTCCCAAGTTGATCCCGGTACCAAACAAACAAACAAATAAATAGTGAAAACAGAGTATTAACCACTCCCAGATACTGGCTAATTAATGTAATGGCTGGATCTAACCACCTTCTTCTTGTGTCTACTCCCTTCCACACTTGGTGAGTGAGTGACACTGAATTCTTGGGACTGGGGTGAGAAAGGAAAAACAGCTACAGCAGCAAGGAAGCAGCTTTGAGGATAAGGGGTACAGAGAAGCAGAAAGGACCTAATGTTGCCTCCAGAGCCAGGGAAGGATAATTGAGGGCTCTTCTATGTCATCTCTTTATGACTGGTTTCTTTCACCACAATCCAGAATTCAAGTCATCATGATGGATTAAGCTAGTCTCATGGCCTAGCCTGGAAATCTAAATAATATTTATAGCACTGTGTTTCAAAGATCCATTTAAAAAAATTTTGTATTGCCCACACATTTACTCTGTCTCAAGGCTGGAAACTGATTAATGTTAAATAATCAAAGAAAAAAATTATAAAATGTATTTCAGCTGTCTTGACTTGTTTATTTAAAGGAAAACCTAAGATGAAATGAATCACTCACATTTGAAGAAAAACATACTCAAAAGGATAACAGGAGATGTTTTACAGGGTAAGATTGTGACTATTCACCAATAATCTTCTTTTAAAGTAAAATTCATGAAATCATATCCTAAACAAAGTAAAGAGAAAGGAAATTGTGTGTGCATGCGTGCGTGAGTATGTATGTGTGCATGGACATGGGCAGAATTTAAAAACAAATAAATACAAAGATATCAGTGTCTTGGTTACTTTTCTCTCATTGCTGAGACAAAATACCCGACACCCAAAGTTAAAGAGGGAAAGGTTTATTTAGCTCACATTCAGTCCATCGTTACTGGCTCCAAGGCAGAGTGGCACAGCAGAGGGGATTCACAGAGAAACAGTTCATTGCACACAGAAGACAGCAAAAGCAACAAGGGATCTTAACAGCATCTTTCTGCCCCTTTTATGTTACTATTCCAGGCTACTTAGTGCAGGTAGCATCACACCCTTCATCCTGTGCCCCTGAGCCTCGCACCGCACCATGAATCAATCCCAGCATCACACACTCTAGATCCAGCCACCTCAGGAAAAGCCCCGCCTATGACCACATGAGGTTTGGGGGAACGTCTAGACACAGTCATGACAGTCAGCTCCCCACAATCATTTACATTAAGCAATGAATAGAACAAGCTTCTTGGGAAAGGAGAAAAGACCAAGACCATAGAAAATGGGCACCTATGCTAAATGCTTTCCAGTGGTGAGGGGCTGCCAGTCCAGCCAGCGGTCGGGTGTGCACCAGTGGTCACCACAGGGCTGTCAAGCCCTGAACTCTCGTGGCAGGCACACACAGTGAGTAGAACCATTTTATTTTGCAAAAACTAGAAATGTGTTGATGTGACTGGCTGGAGAAGCTGTATGTTGTAGCAATGTGTCACCAACCCCATCACTGCTGAAATAGAAAATGGAAAGCAGAGTTGAGCTCTTAGGCTTCTGAAAAGCTAATTTGATTCTTACAGCAGTGTATCTGCTGCATTACTTCTTTACACTCAAAGCCCAGCCTCAATTGCACAGAAGAATCACCTTCAAAAAGTATCCTCTGCTGATTCCCAGACAAATTACATGTCAAATACCAATTTATAAAAATGATTAATGAAGCAGAGATTGAGAAAAATATTATGGAATTAAAGAAAACAATCTCAGGGATTTCCAATTTAAGGCTGTGGATCAAGCACATACATCTGCTTCCCAGTCCCAAGGGTTCCCTGAAATGACAGAAATGTATATCCTAACAGGAACAAGAAAGGCTGCCAGAACTTCTTAGGACAGGACCAGTGAAGATGGAGTCCCCAAGACAATAGCAGGTTGTACCCCCAGAGGAACCCCCGAGAGAGGCCAATGTCAAATCTGACCCCGAGTCAGTACCAGAGTACAGATGCAGTGAAGAACAGCTCTCAGAAAAGCTGGGGGCATGCACTGCAGAAACATAACACCTGGGTAGAAAAATTCCCTAGAGGAGTTCAACAGCAGACTTGATCAGGCAGAAGAATAAGCAAACTTGAAGAGAGATTACTTGAAATTATTCGCTCCCAGGAACAGAGCAAAACAAAGCCAAAAAGGAATAATAATAATAAAAAAAGAAAAGTTGATAGGACACCATCAACTGGATAAATTCTAGAAGGAAGAGAGAGAAAAGGGAACAGAGCTTACTTGA